TTATTAACATAGATGTGCTTTTTTCATTGATTGGTTCAGAGATGATTGAGATTGAAATGCCTCCCTGAGACACAGAGGTGACGTTTTTGTTGATCCAGAGTCCAGCGTTCACCACAGGAGATGCCAGTTTTGACAGTGAAATCATAGTTATGCCTGTGTAAACCCTGAGTGGTCAATGCAGCTGCATTGTTTTTCATGCTGGTGTTACAAAACTGAAGGCCCGAGTCTGTTTTCACTTACCCTGGGATTTGACATTTTAAGTTAGTGTGGAATAACCCATATTTAGGCTTAGACTCTGCCTCTCTCACTGTGGTGAGATTAGGTGACCTGATTAATAAATGAATAGATTTTTAGTCATTGTGGTCATCTACTTTGAGTACCAACCAAAGTTAGTACTTACCAGGCCACCAAATTCACCTGGTAAGTCCTGGTTCAAAGCTTCCTTCCTCCATCAAGGCAGCAGCTGCTGGGATAACCATGGGGGCACCCCTGGCCATGGGGATCTGCATATTCTCAATGCCACTGGTGACAAGGAGTAATCTGCCATGCTGAGCACTGAATGAGGTCTCACCTGCCTGGAATAGAACTAAACAGACTGTTTGCAGAGCCAGTCCCTCACCACCATCACCTTGGGGCAGACTGGAGCATATGGGTCTGTCCTTGAGCCAGTACCAGCTCCATGGAGCCAAGAAGGGATTTATCTGAGTAGTGTGGGAAAAAGCCTGCTGTGAAAATGTCTGTAGCCAGTCTCTGGACACCCAAGTGACCTTCAGTCATAGGAGCCCTTGGGGAGAAACTCATCTCTCTGCCTGAAGCTGGCAAAGGCTCACGGAAGCATGGTCCAAGCCAGAGACATAATGTCATCTTGGCTGGGGAATATTTTATTTGAAAGTATTTTCCTTCAAGGTCCTCTACGGTTTCTCAATGCCAGTGTCAGTTTCCTAGCCATATTGCTCCTCCCCTCTGACATGTCCAGTCCCAGTCAAGATTTTACAGCCCTTGTGCTCCCCTGTGGCAAATTTTCTGCCCCTGACCGTGGGTGTGTGGAACCAGGCAGGAGGACACTCAGGAACAGCAGTTCAGGCTCAGGGCTTTGGCAGTGCTGGGTGGGAGCTAGGGCACTGGGAATGCCCTGGACACCTGTTGGAATCTGTGGTATTTAAATGATTTTGAGATTGTAGAAAGTTTGTCTTTTAGCCCCGCTGCCAAAGAAGAAGTCGTAATTTGTTTGTGTTGGTTTTAAAGGCTGTTTATTCTTGCTTATTTATAATATGTTTTGCTGCCCTGCTGCAGGTCTGTCCTGCAGGACAGCGTGTGGGGTTCTGCCCTTCAGTGGGATGTTGCAAACATGATACACTAGAAACTATGTGTGCTATATTTGCAATAATGTGCCAATATCTATTATTTACATTGAACAGGCTGTGTCCCCAGCCTAAACTAATAGAAAAATGCCAACACTACAATGAAACATGGAGGGCATGAAGAAGAAGAAAAAGGACTAGACACACTTAATTTTTTTTATCTTGTCTCCTTTGGACCCCTTATCTAGAATCTTAAAATTTTACTTTTGTACCTGTGCTATGCTTAATTATTACTTATATCGAACACTTAGAGCTTGTAATTAATCTTGTAAGATTGAAAACTCTTTTCCATGGACAGAGATCACAGACAGTGTCTCTGGGGGCTCTGTCCAGGGGGGTTCCTGACCCTCTGCCAGGGTCCCAGACCTTCCAGGGCCAGAGGGATGCCCTGGACTCCCACAGACACCCATCTGGAGGAGGCTTCTTTTGGCTAATCAGCTCACAGACCATAGAGAGCATTAGAGATCTGAGTGCTGTGCTGCGCTGAATGAGTCGCACCCATTTCCAGGTACAGACAAAACCAATGGAGTTTTACAAGGATGACTGGCAAGCAGCTTCTCATTGCAGATAACTCCCTGCCAGCATATCCTGAACACATAGGTGATTGCTCTTAAATTGATGGCTTGAAGCCTTTTTACTTAGCTCCTGCTTGATAGTCAGCGAATGTAGAGTTGCAAGGAAAAAACCCCAAACCACACACACACACACACAACCTCCCCCCCAAAAATCAAAATTCAAAACAAATCCTAAAAAGAAAAAAGTGATGCAGAATTTGCTCTCTGTTATACCTCTCTAAGAATGAAATTATTTGGAATGGAGAGTTAAAGTTCCTGATGCTCCTCAAAGCCTAGGATGAAGGGTAGCTTCTGCCACAGTTGGGAATTGCCCTTCCAATGCAGCAATTTGAGGGCTTCAATCTCCCCGCAGATTAGAGCTGGCATGCTGAGTCTGAGAGGGAAGCTGGCACCCTGGTACTCTGGCCAGATCACTCAGCTCTCTGAGTTTTGCTTAACATTAACTTGATGTGTGGTTTGTTTGCTGAACACATTTACATTAGCCATAATAAAGTCCTTCCAAACGTATGGACACAGTATGGAGGGAAAAATCCCCCCACGCACATGTGCTTTTTTCAATAAAAAGATATCTAAAATCACTTTGAAATGCAGCTGGTAAGTTAAATTCCTCCCTGTTATGTAGAGTTGATGCTGCATTGCTTTCTTTCTGGACCATGTGTGTGGGAGGGGCTGAGGAGTGACGCTATTTGGGCTGTGCTTTCTACTCCTTAGCTCTACAGACCATGGGAAGCTCCAGCCTGACTTTTTGGATATAAATAAGGCTTCAAAAGCTCTTCATGTTTCTTTCTGGCAATGAAACATCCTGTGTTCTAGAGCAGCTTGTCATGGACCAAACTCATTCCTGAGGCTGTTGTGCAGTTAAATCACCTGAACTGGCTGCCAAACTTCAGTGCTTCCTTCTCTCACTCGAGCCTTTCGTAGCTCTTATGACCATCCTGCTCCATTGCCTCAGCCCCAGCTAGGGAGGGTGGGAGGGAGGGAGGATGTCTCCTTGGCTGTGGAACAGAGCACACAGTACCTTGCCTGAGGTTGTTGTGAAATTGTGTATGAAAATGAGCATCCAAATACCCATCTTCCATTATCCCTGACATTGCCATACTTGGAGGAGATATTTCTCCCCCTACTCAGCAGTGGCATCTTTTGCTCCTGTGGGAATCCCATGTACTGGCTGTATGAATAATTATCCCTTTTTTATTTCCAGAGGTTTTGTTTGTTTTTTTTTTTTTTTTTTTTTTTCCTGAATTGAGTAGTCACACTAAGAGTGCTGTATAGCAAGGTTTATGTGGAGCCATTCATCATTCATAGCTGGGATCACAGAACACTTCACAGCTGATTACAAGGTTACACATGCAGGGAATGACATGAACTGCCAGTCTGAAGTCAAGCTTCAAGCAGGTTTCTGGGCACACGCAGAAGATGAAAAGAACTCAGGGAGGAGTGAATGGCACACGAAGCATCAGACCTGCCCTCCCTCCTGCTGACCCAAAAGACGTCTCTCTGAGATATCCACAGAGGATGTTTTCTGTCTCCTTGGACATAACATAGGCACCCATGACACACAGTTCCAGATTTCCCTCTGAAGTGACTTATGCCTAACAAGGACTGGGGCTCCAGCACCCATTTTACAGGTAACTATTCACACAAGTGGGATGATGAACTGCAAAACCTAGTCTGGTCAGACCAGAGAGCTTTAATCTGCTTCATGAAGTCAGAGTTGTGCTGAGAAGTTGGAAGATACCAGCTACTGGTCCTTTGTTCTAAGGGGGACATGACAACAGCCCCGAATCCAGACCAACACCTACTGGTGTGGCTCTCCGGGAATTCTATGACACCATCCACACCCTGGGCTCACCACCCCCTCCCCAGCACTGGCTGGGATGAGATGTCCCCACCAGCTGCCTGCCAGCCGTGCCCTCCGCCAGCACCTGCGGAGCACGCGACTCTCCAGGCTGAGATGGAAATGTTTTCAGCAGAGTTTTCAGCAGGACTGTGAAGCCACACAGCAAAGCACAGCAATGGCTTCTTTAGCATGAGACAGCAGCCCGGGATGGACTCTGGGGAGAGCTGCGCTGCCTCTCTCCCCGCGGGCACCTTGGCCTCCCTCGGCCCGTGCGCAGCAGCAGCAGCATGGAGCTGGGCCTGGCGCGGCAGCAGCAGCAGCATGGAGCTGGGCCTGGCGCGGCAGCAGCAGCAGCATGGAGCTGGGCCTGGCGCGGCAGCAGCAGCATGGAGCTGGGCCTGGAGCGGCAGCAGCAGCATGGAGCTGGGCCTGGAGCGGCAGCAGCAGCAGCATGGAGCTGGGCCTGGCGCAGCAGCAGCAGCAGCATGGAGCTGGGCCTGGTGCAGCAGCAGCATGGAGCTGGGCCTGGCGCGGCAGCAGCAGCAGCATGGAGCTGGGCCTGGTGCAGCAGCAGCAGCAGCACGGAGCTGGGCCTGGCGCGGCAGCAGCAGCAGCATGGAGCTGGGCCTGGCGCGGCAGCAGCAGCAGCATGGAGCTGGGCCTGGCGCGGCAGCAGCAGCAGCACGGAGCTGGGCCTGGCGCGGCAGCAGCAGCAGCATGGAGCTGGGCCTGGCGCGGCCCGGCCGCCTCACGCGCTGCGCTGCCCCTCCAGGGAGCTCCTCACGCGTTTCCTCAGAGCCATTTCTGCAGCCATGGTACAACACGAGGCGTTCCCAGTTCTGCCACACCAGGAACAGGCGCCCCAGCAGAGGGTCAGTGACGCTGGTGGCAGCACTGCTTGTCCAAAGACCGCTCCTTGCAATCCCTCTGCTCTCTGGGCTGCCTTGGGGACAGACGGCATTCAGGCTGCTGTATGCACTGAGGCCCCTCAGGGATGGGGAAAGCACATTATTGATCCTGTTCCCTCACAGTTGGTATCAGCACTACATTATTTCCTAACATCAAGTCATTTTAAGTTGCCGCAATGGCACAAACACATTGATTAAAAATTAAAGCCAATGATGGCTCTCCCACAAACAGTACTTACTGTACCATGCATATTCTGTCCTGGGAGGAGAATGAGAAAATAGCAGAAGACAGAATAATTTATAGTGATAAAATGGGTTACATTTTCATAAAAATTTTATTTTACTTTTTTTTTTTTTAAATAATTCAATGCACTGGCAGTATAATTAATCCCTCTATGAGAGACACGAATGTACCAGTTCAACCAATATTATTTATACAGAGACATTGTGTTTAAAAACAACAAAAGTACATTTAAAATGTTTGTACATAAAGTATTACTGTTATTTCTTTTTTTTTTTTCTGAAGAAGGAACAAATGTAAACAAAATGCATAATTGTGCAACACGTTGGAAATACAAAGCAAAACAGGCAAGATACAATTTTATACATATAAAGCAAAAGAAATCAAACTTTTATAACTATACAACATTTCAGTAATTGCTTGACAGTTTAACAGTTACCTTGGTCTGTACAAAACATCTTAACTTATACTTAAAACTTTACAAGAATAACATGCTTGTTCAGAACAAAGACACCTTGTGGAATTGCAATGATTATTGATATGATACTTGCACACATGAGAAAAAGAAGAGGCTACTTCAATAGTAAATAAAAAGTAAGAACATAAGAACGTAAGGTAAAAGGCCATTTAGTAAACCATAATCAAATTCCAATAGCTAATTAAGTTGCACTGCAATGCAGAAATTAAATTTGACTTTTGCTGGAAGACCATAAGGTCATAATGTTGCTCTATTTCCAGGAACCAGAAGAAAGCCTATATAAATTTTCCTGATATTTTGGTTAATTATACATGCGCACGCACACACACACACAAAAGAAAAAAAAACCAAAAAATAGTATTTGTCACAACAGCCAGAAATGGTGGGTGAGAGAACCCACAGACTAGACTACTCCCAACATGGCAGGGCTAAAAAATCAGGACAGCTAGAAAGAGCAAACAGCCACCAAGTTTGCCAGGATTGCTTTTCCTGAACCTTAGTTGTATTTTGCTTTTTTTTTTTCCTAAAAGACAGGAAGAACCTTGAATTGAGTTGAGCCATTCCAAAAATTCTGGGAGTGCCACAGCCAAGCCAAAACACAAACTGAAGGAGAACTCAAAACCAAAGCAAAACATCACCAGATCTTTGACTTGTTTTTATATTCTGTGATGGTATGTCCTAGACCTTTTGAATGTGGGTTTAAAAAAAACAGCATTTAAGATTCAGTAGAAGATATGCAATCCAGAGATGTCAAAAATACAGACAGGAATAAGTTATACAATATTTTATGGAAATACAAGGACTGTCAGCTTGAACAAAATGTACATAATTTTTAAGTGTCCTCAAATGATACATATGGCTAAAATTAAACTCCTGATTGCAGCAACCTAACATATTCAGTGCCTGCTTCTGCAATCTGTGTGCTGAGCACCAATTCACACAGTTACTGCTGTGGACTTCAGTGGAGCAACCTGCCAACCAGGATGCTCAGGGGAAGAACAGCAGAATTGGGCCTAGATAAATATTTGCCATGACTTCTAAATGTACAGAACCCAATTGGATTAGGAAAAACACTTTAGCCTGCTGCAATGTCTTTGAGCTTAAGTAACAGATTCCATCTCTAGACTGAGAGCATTTATGACATGTCTGAATTTATTTGCCATTTTTCTATGCAAGGTAATGCTGATGCCAGTAAATATTTAAACTGGTAGGTAATGAAATTGCAATATGCCTTTAGTTAAACCCCAAATATATGCAAGCCTAGATGGCAAGCAGAAATTACCCTCCAATTTTTTTTAGCAGGGATTATCTAGTGCTGAATTGGAATAGTTCAATATATGCTCAGCCTCAGTGTGCCTTTATAGAGCTGCATTAGGGCATGCAGCACAGTATGAATAGGGAGAGGACTGGTTTTTCAGCTGGTGTAAAACAGCACTGACATCCACAGAGCTACTTAGAGGCACATCAGCTGAAGCTTTGGCCCACAGTCATCAGAAACATGCAGCCATCACTCTGTATGAAAAGCTCAGCTGTGGAAGTGCAGAGTGAGGTGTAATCGACATCAGATCAGAAGATGCTCTGCTCGTCTCGTTTCTGAAAACAAATCTCCAGACTGTGTGGTCTAAAGCAGTTTTATGACGTGCTATACACTGCATAGCTTTGCAAAGTACACTACTTCTTCACAGGCAAGGATTATGGTATATTAATAATTTCAGTGGCATGACGATAAAAGGTTTGGGAGTCTATCTACATAGAGATAAACTGGCAAAAATTAGTCTGGGATTAGAGGGTTTGCTCCTTGGTGTGTGCATATTGGATGAACTCCACTGAAATCAGTACTCCTTTACCAGTTTACAGCAACTGAAGAACTTGTACTCTAGCTCTGATTTAAATAAAACATTTGTGTTGCTATCCACTATCCAGTTATTTCATAAATTCAAGGGTAAATGTCTCCTGTCAGTGGGTCAAAGCTTCGCCATGTCCACACCATTGTTACTTGTCATGAAGTCAGTGGTGGTTTCCCTGGGCCAGGGCTGAGTCAACACATGGTCTGGTTGAAGAGAAAATCTGCTTGCAGTTATTCCAGCTCTAGTACACAGACCTTGAACTACTTTCACTGAGATGAGTGCCCAGCCAGAACAAAAATGGATGGAATTCCAATCAATTAATTGGGTTTATACAACTTAAGTTCTGGCCTAATACACACAACTCCAGTAAGGCTATGCCATTTTTTAAATCCAGCTTCTCCTTTGATAAACAGTATTCAGCAAGCTCTGTAAGACTTGCACTAATGCCACATGACAGCAGAATTTGGTCCCATGAATTCCACCAGTTGAGCCAAGTTACTTTACATTTGCTAAGCTCAAATTTTGGTCCACTGTAGCTACTGTTGTTCAATAAAACAATTAAATTCACCTCAGAATCTGACCTTCCTTTGAATTCTGAGAAGCTGATAACTGAGTGGAAATTAGGGCTATCTATACTTGAAGGATCTTTCAATGGTATTACAATAGGGTGACACACAGCTGTGAGTAAATTTATATCTAGCACAGAGAGCTTATGAAACTTGCAGATAGAGTAACTCAGTTAAAATCAAAGAAGAAAACAAGCCTCAAACAGCTGCATTGTCCACTCACATGACTTTTTAGACTGGCATCAGTGGGACTCAGTTGGAGTCCTGTAAACACGAGTGGTCCTGTGGACACCACGAATTAAATTCCACAAATTAAATTAAATCTGTGTTCAGTGGGTATTGACTGAGTTCTACGCTGTCACCATGTGCATGGCTCCTGTCAACTTGACTGGCATTTCCAGATGCAGTGCAAGTGCAAGTGAGTGCTCACATCCCCGTCCACCTGCAGCTGCAGAGACCAAGACCTGAAAGCAATGCAGAACCACAGCTCTGCTCACCCAGGCAGTGGGGCTGGGGTCCCTCGGCCCTCCTGGGCACAGCACTGCTCCCCCAGCACAGTGGACAGGGCTGGGTGGGGCTCCACACCACCCAGACCTGTAGTAGTCCAACACCCAGAGCAGGCTGAGGGCTCAGGAGCTCCGTGTGGCTCCACAGCCTGTGGGAAGCAACATCAGGTCACACAGTGCTGCCCAAGGTGGCTGCTGGGCCTTTGGGCTTGGTCCTTGCTTCTTTGTAAAAATAAAGTAAAAATAATGGTTTAACTGGATGGTGACTTCAGGGTGGTGACCAGAATTACCTCTCTGTGACATGAGGTGGCACTCTGAGGTGCATTGAAGAATTGGGAGTGGTGGTGCTGTATTCTGATTTCACAGGATACCATAGTATAGGTATTATTTTGCAGGACACATCAACAGTAATAAATCCCCTTTCCCAAGAAGCACACTCAGCTTAAATTCACAATGCCAGACCACAGCAGCTTGCCCCACTTTCTTTAAACCACTCTTGACATTTTTACCATTGCCTAATATCATTACAGTGCCAGTGAGCTGCCTGACATGTCACTACACACCCTGTGATTCTGGGAACAGCTTTTCATCACAGTATTTCTGCTGCAGTGCCTCCTGATGAGGCCAGGTTTGATTTTCATGTGACACCAGTTTTATGTAGTAACTCATCTGCACCTGAATTTGCTCTCATCTCTCTATAGAGCCACATCCTCCCCCGAGTTTAACACAAGATCTGAATGCAATCTATCCTGACTTCAGCAGCCACCACAAGAGGTTTAAAGTGGTGTGAGATTATCAGAATCCTGATCTTGGAAGACAAAACATCTCTGAAACAAAATGGCTTAAGGAAAGCTATGAAGTCCATCAGAAAGGAAGGTCTGACAAGGGTACTGGGGAGAAGATGACTACTCTCTAAGTCAGGCAGGAACATTTTGCATTCAGTGGCAGAGAGGTTTCAGTAATGAAGAAGACCCTAATAGCTCTTAGCCTATAAATTTAGGCTAAATATCAAGTGATATAACCAAAATATGCCCCCATATAGACATATCACTTTAGACAACAGAGAATGCCTGTATGCATTGGTGTGCTAAGGTTATATAATGGAAGTTCAGGAGGATTACTGGAAACTGAGGAATTGAGCTCTCCCAGTATTAAGTTTTATTTGTTTTTATATTTTTTTTTCTTTATATATTTTTATATTGCATTTATAAAGTAGCATGTAAAGTAAAGCTGGAAGATGTCATAAGAACAAGTAGATTAATTTTCCATCTTCATCCCCTTTGCCTCACTCCCAGTGTATTCAGCTGAGGTCAGGGAAAAGCCCTCTGCAAAGACCCCTTGGTCTGCAGCCTGCCTAAAGCTGGGACACTTCTACACTTGTTCCAGAATGGCAATTTAATTTTCTTTGGTGACTTGTTAAATATTTTGTCTTTCTTAAAACTTCAAGACACTGGTCTATGGCAAATGAGTTAATCTGAAAAACAGCACACTTACACAGCACATTCATTCTTACACCGACTTTAGGGACCACAGGACTAAAATGACAGAGTTGCTGCCACTTCCTGCACACCTTCATTGTCTGCAAGAGGCAGTAGATGCAAACAGGACTATGCACAAACTGCACAGGAACACTTGAATAATGCCACTACCACTTGCAGTGGTAGGAGTGTTTTCTGTTTACAGCTACGAGATCTTTTCTCCTGTGCTATGAAGTAATGAGCAGGAGCTTTCTGCTGCAAATCTACACATAAATCCACGCAGATGTGTACACACTCTCACACTCATGGTCTTGCTTCAATGCTGCACTGAGTTTCTCCTGAACTCCAAGTAATGAAGTATGTTAATACTAAAGTCAGAATCCCTACCAGCCCCATTTTTGTTATCTCTTAATTTACACTCACAAAACTAATAATTGGATTTAGACAGCATTAAAAGCTGATAAAAACTCACTGAAACAGTTTTTCTGAAGTACCTAAAAACATCAGTGAATATAAACCATCATAACAGAAGAACATAATAAAATCTGTGAAATTTAAAAAAGCATGGAAATTAAATTCCAGATTCAATTGGCTTGTTTTGTTTCTTTAGGAGGAATGAAGATCTCCAATCCTATTTTTTCAAATCCCCCACATAACTATCAACAGATGTCTCTACTTTTCAAAGGAGATAATTTATAAATGAAGCAATCTTTTCACAGAGAGAATATCTCAATAACTGAAAGTCCAAAGAACATGTAAGAAAAAGTGAAATTAAAATGCAAGCTGTGAAAGTTGCCACCAACACGATCAGAAAAAGGTTTTCCTTCAGCTCCCTGCTCTTGAGCACCCAACACACATCCCATGGCTGGAGATGTTCACTGCACTTGGAGCTGGATATTCTGCCTGCACTCAAATACTTGAGACCTGCTGCAGCCCTTGAAGTGGAGGTTAAGTGCTATGTAAATGCCTCTCTTGAGCATTTAGGAATTTGCTGCCCTTGGGTCTTTCACCCCAAATGCCTGAGTTTAGACCTTTACAGGCCTGCTCCCTTCACTGCGGAACTCTTGATATTGCTCCAAACTTTCTCAGGCATGGGTCACGAATTACAGTCTTGTAAGTTCTGGCAGTGTTCTACAAAGCTTGGTGTCCTTCTTAAATCCAGCTACAGAAGTCGAGAGATTCTATCACTGTTCCAGTTTATCACCATTAAAAAGAAATGTGTCAGTTCCAGCCCTTGGCATGCTTGTAAAATGCCTGAAAATGTGTAATGAAACCAGTCCCAAAGCTCACCATCCAGAAGGCAGTACAGGAACCAAAGAGTTTATTTAAAAAAACCAACTAAAACCAAACCACAATTTTAAGCCAATCTTGTAATTTTTGGTGCTTGGTTAATGAGTTTGAAAGCCTGAATTGGGCAGTTTTAAGTGCAGACACTGCAAATGCCCAAGCACAGATATGCTGCTTCCCCATGGACTGAAACAAACAAACAATCTTATTTGATTAGCTCTGCTGGAAGTAATATTTTAAGGGGTAAAATGATTCCACGAAGATGACATGTTGGCAATTTAAATGAGATGAATATAGTGCCTGTAAAAGTGCAATAATCCTTAATAACTAACCCAAAAGAAGCATCATCCCCAGGGATAAGACAGCAATTTACTCTCCATATTTAATTTGTTTCTAAGCCGCTTTTGAAAGAAGACTGCTAAATAGTAAGTTGGCTTGTGATCCTAGACTTGACTGCTGGACTTATTATCATCATGCCATTGATTCAGCATACATTTCAACCTCAGTCACAGGATACAAACTCAGGAGGGGCTAATTCCTTAGCTGTTTAAGCAAAAGACTGTGAACATGGGGTAAATTTAGAGATAGGAACCTGTTTACCACAAGCAACAGGGAAAAGATAATATGTGGTGATCACTGAGCGACTGCAGCAAACTCTGAAGAGTCTTGTGCCTGAAGACTGTCTTTCAAGACATTGCTATTCCTTGTAAATGCATGGAAGTCTTGGATTTCAATCTACATTAAAGGAGCAAGTGATGACAATGCACTTAATTAGACTGAATAGTTACTTGCAAAAAGAATGGAAAACTCTGGCTTATGACAAAACCAGCCCAACCTTAGGCCATCTCAAGTACCCAACCTGTTAAAAAAAATATTTCAAATTTTTCATTTTCTTTTTCTTTAAAAAAACACCGACCACCACCATTCATCTACATTTCTGAATAGTTCTCACTGGTTTTATTCATTAGCTGCTGGGGACAGAGTTGGCGTGACCAATGTGTCAGATTCAGGTTTCATCCCTGTTACTGAAACCCTCAGACAACAGATAAGGGTGAATCAAACACTTTAGGAACAGGAATGTGCAGATAATACAGGACGAGCATGTTCTGCAAATGTCCTTTGCAGAAAACCCTACACTGGATGATTTCTCTAACGATGGACGTTGGCTGTGTTTACAATACAGTCTTGTGGAACAAAATGTTAGGAATTATTGATTTTTAAGAAAAGGTACTACTACAGGGAGCTAATATGCAACAGCTACAGAAATGTTTGTCTTAAATGTGCACTGGGCAGAGTCCTTAAACTGCTCTTATTGCAAATATCCAAGGCCTGCTCTAAAAATCTTAACAGTCTGAACCTTTTAAATGCAAATTTGTCCTATTTATCTGGTCACAACCTAGTGAGTAGAATCCAGTAACTCACCAGATTAAAGAATATACAGGTTTATATAGCAGAAGGTAATTGCAATTAACTAATATCTGGATGGCATTTAATACACATATTGTATTATTTCAATGAGATGAGACAGAATAATATTTACATTGCTATGAGGATTTTCTGTTTATAGAAATGGAATTTACAGTTCAGTAAGGTATGCAGGCGTTATATCAAGAATGAGATGAGACCATTTAAAGTCTTGTGAATTATTGATATAAATTCATTTTGTTTTGTTTCATGCACCAGCGCTTCTTTCAGTGGCACCAGAAGAGCAGTGCAGTTTATAACAGGGAAAAAAATAAGAGGAAAGAGCAAATGTGAAATGGTGCAATTTATTCACAATTGCTTTGAAATTCTATCTGAATTGTCTCATTATTATTCATGCATTAGAGGAATGGTCCAAAACATGACAGCATGGGTAAAGAGATGCAGAGCTTGGAGAAAAGGTAATCTGACTGAAGTATTCATGGCCATTATTAAACAAATGTTATATTGCTTTTGGGTAAATCTGGTGATTTTATTTAATTTGACATTGTTTTCAAGATCGCAAGATAATACTGTTTGTTTCTAATGCTATGAAATGAACAAAACAGGTGAAAATTGATGCCACATGGAATTATAATGTTTCAACAGTAGCTGGTTAGTTAAACTTCTAGATAGTTAATGAAGAATCTGCATACACTTATTAAAGGACTTTTACATACAATATCAATGCTTAGAGTGCAGCAGTCCTGTTAAAATCTGCTTTCAGTGAGTCACTATGCAAGGAGAGATTGTTCTATGAAGAAAAATCTTGGATAAGTATTTGTTTGAGACTAAACAGTAAAACAGAAAGAAAATTCACAGATCTAGTATAGGAATGGTAGATAAGACTAAGAAAGCTAATATTTTGAAACTGCCTAAAAACTGCAATAAATTTTGCTGCCTACTGAAATTATTAAGCCAACAATAAACAGGAAGAATGGAATATCAAAACCTCATTGCATAGTGTGTCATCATTCTTTAATGAGGCATTCCTTCAACCTTTTACCTCTTAACACCTTTGGTGATCTTACATTATGTGCCTGTAAGATTTTCAACATTCTCTTTTAGAGATTAAACCCATAGGGAGTATGAAATCTTAGGAATGTACTGAGTCAGGTAATGATGCCAGAATTAAGCGTCGAAAAGCTTGGTTCAGGTTCAGAAGATGATTTTGAATGAATAGCTATAACTTCTACTAATTTATTTCAGAAGGGACTTCTCATATATACCCTCAAATATTTAAGACGCTTTGTACTATTTCTCAGGAATCCATATCTTCTCAAAGTGCTTTTTTTTGTTTTCACTTGAAGGCAGCATGGACTTAAAACAACACTGCAGGGAATGTACCGTTCCATAAAGCACATAAGGATGGCAGGATCCAGGAGACACAAGGCATAGAAAATTGTCAAAGATGATTAGATGGTACAACACATACTGCTCTTGAGTCATACGTTTCATTTATGGTGACTTCTACTTCCAATAGATAGGATATTAAAAAAGGCAATAAAAATGAAGTTACATGAATAAACTTCCAAAAATGAGTGGAGTTCCACCAGTGATCGTCTCTGCGCTGGTAGAGGTAGAAGAATGGGGATGTCATGAACAGGGCAGCAGTCACTACAACAAATGAGCCTCAATGCGGAGCCAGTGGAGTCCCTGGCGAACGTAACGAACCAGATTGGTCATACTGCTGTGTTGTGTTAAGGGTCCCATCACTGAGTCCAGCTCTACAAAGAACTCTGCAATACACAAGAAACAGAAGCAATTTTTCAGGCAATGGTACAGAAATAGAGGTATTACCATGATTTCCCACTCAGAAGCAGCACAGTGTAATTGGTGAGCTCTAAAGACGGTTGTGCACATGAGCATATGATGAATAAGACAGAATTTAAACAACAACAATATATTGAGACAAACCAAATTAGATTATCCATGCTGGAAGTCTACCACAGGATGGTATGAGTGGTTGCCAGTAGTCTGACTTTAACTCTGATCATCTGCACTGTCAGTTTTTCAAGATTACATTTGCTGACTGTATGATTTAAATAGCTGGCAATGAAATCTTGCATTACCTTTCCATGCTGTACTCTTTCCCAGACATGAAGGGCTAGACTGGATCTTTCCAGACTAGAAGACCTTTCTTGCTCTTTTCCCCACCCTCTCATTTCTGTTACTGACATTGCAGCACTTTTGGCCCTCTGCTCACTCTGCTGCAGCTGCAGGCCCCAGAGGATGAGTGTGGGATGGGAGCCAGGGAGGAAGAGCAGACAGACAACACAGCAGGAAAGTAACTCCTTGGAGAACGGGAACCTCTAAGGGGGAACAATCCCAGCCCTGGGATTCCTGGTTGGGAAGGGTTAACAGGAGGTCACTGAACAGAGAGCCCCAGTTAGGAAGTGACACACCAGTTTACTTTATGTCATGTGTTAGATGCTCTCTGGGTGAAAGACTAATCCTGTTAGGGCCAACAGACCTTTCCTAATTGCTGTCAATGGAGAACTGAATTGTGTCCTGTATTCTCCCACAGTTCTTTATGCTCGCTGGGGCACAGCCATTCCCACACATACAACACTTACACTATATTTAGGCAAGTGGGAACCCGCTCTCAGTTAAAGCCCCTCAGAGCTCAGATAACAACCAACAATCACAGAAAGGAATGGCTGAGCCCTCACATTCTCACCCCGTCTGCAATCCAGTGCACTGAGCCAGCCAGCACTGCATTGGCTGCACTTCAAGAAAGCAGATGCTGGGTACAAAATCATTATCAGTACTTTCTTCAGCGAGTAAGTGCTGCTTTGAGGTCTTCTATCCAAGTATTGACAGCCTGACCCTGGTCAGCTTGGGAGCTACAGCAGTATCAGAGCACAAAGTGATTTGGCTGGAGGCAAGCATAATGAGAGCTCAGGGCTAGCACCAGTGCTGTTGAGATGCTGCAGCCAGCAGCTACTTTTAATCTTCCTTTCTCTGTCTTTCATTCATCTCCTCCAGTGTAAAATCAATACATTTTGATGAAATAGTGCACAATCTTGCTTGAATTCTAGAGATCTCATTCTAGGCTAAAATAAAGAGCAATTGCTTTAAACACTGAGAATTCACCTTAATGCCTAATTTCAGGTTAACATTTCTGGAAAAAGCTACAAGCACTGAAGCCACTTAAAAAATTTATGCGTGAGAGAACAGGTCTTGCTCCCTACAGAGCTGGTAGTTTTCTACTGTAGAGAAGAAGTCCTGCTTTCTTCAGAAGCATAAAAAAAAAAAAAGATCCGATCTTGTGAAGTCAGCTGAGAGTTTGATGTTATAGATGGTGAACAACACCACTTTAGGTGAGCCAACACAAATCATCCCATGGGCTTTGGGAAATCTGCAGTTTACTTTGGCCTGCTACAGACGCAGATTTATGCCAAACTACATCTATTCTCCCCATACTCTCAACTCTGTGGACCAGGGGAAATTCCACCAGAGGTAGGTACATGGCAGTATGTTCCTGCTTTCGTTTTCAAACCAGATCAGCTTGGCGGGTCACAGTTCTGCTGCTCTCCCTCTTGCTATGCATTTTTATTTCAATGGCACATCTTTTGTCAGGCTGACAAAGAAAGGCTTCTGTCTGCTGCTCTGAGCCAGCTGAACACGAGTCAAGTTCAAACTGGGGGCGTGCAGGCAGACTCAGAGGAGCACAAAACCTAAGGTGCACAGCTCCCACAGTGTGGAGGAAATTCCTTGTGACTGCATGGACATGACCTAAGGAACATTCATGACAGCAGTAAGACCCAGAGGTAATTGCTATTAGGCCACAGTTTTATACCCACCTCAGGACAGATCATCAAGGACATATTCTTAAGCAAGACACACCCTGTGATTCAGAAACAATTAGAGCTGACCACAAAAACCCAACAAAGTGACTGAATCTGGTTGGGTTTAGTTTTGTTCTTTTTTTTTTTTTTTTTTTTTTTTTAAAGGAACTAAATTTTTATCTTATCATGGTTTCTTTGCAGGTGTGTGGGTTTTTGGTTTTGTCATCATTCTTATTTCAAAGGGAGGGGGGAAAATCTCATTTTTCATAATGAACTGACTGCCCAAGCTTCTGAGAGAGAGCCCAAATGATCAACTGGGACTCACTCACTGCAGAGTCTGGGGTTTCCACTGTCCTGTTTGCTGTCACAGGGCAGTTTTGGACCCCCAGTCCACAGGCCAGTGCAGCAGAACTTGGGCAGTGCAGCAGAGCTGAGACAGCTGGCAAAGGTAGACTGGAGAAAGCGGTGAGTCCTGTTCCAGCCAACCAGATAAGGGTGCTTTGAATTATTTGAGAGGTGCAGATGACATCTAGTGAAACAATTACAGCCAGTTTTCATAAAACACAGTACCATTTCTCACGTCAAAGTGTCTTGAATACATTCTTTTTTAAAGAGAATCTCTCATGTGGTGTGATGGAGACCTGCAGAGTACTACAACAGTTCTCATATACTTTTTGCTACACCATGAATTTTTCAAATTGCAATTTGTGTTTAAGCATGCAACTTTAAATCAAGCACTTAATTAGAAATGAGGTATCTTTCCAGAAAATATATAAAGGCAGACATGCTATAGCATGTAGGAAACTCTGATCTCTCTCCAATGGTTTACAATACTTAAATGAAATTTGAAGTAACATGAACTTTGCATTCCCTGTAATGTGTCTGCAGGTTGTGAAACAAGATATGAAAGAACAGGTCACAACCTTAAATGCCTTGCTCATGTGAGAAACCCTTATTCATGCATCCAGTCCCAGTAAAGTCAAAGGGACTGCTCATCTGAATAAAGAGTATTCCTATATGGCTTTGCAGAATTGGGTTTATTTGATCATAAATCAAAATGAGAACAAAGAAGAGAGTAGGGAGGAAAATGCAGAAAGAGAATCAGCAGGTTTTTTCTCATCCAGCTCGAGGACTGATAACAGCAGTGGCTGGGTACATTTTCTGTCTGCTGGCTGAATGCCTGAGCTATTTTGATTTAATACCAAGTAGAACATTTAACAACTCCACAACACACAGGGCTAATTACAAGATTATCACCATCTCTTCCTCCTATCAGGGCATCCTTCTGCATTCCCACTGTAACATTCTGCATTACATTTGACAGGGAATCGCTTTCACATTTTGTGAAAATGGATGCAGCTATGGAAAAAATCCAAAATGACTGCGCTGCTACTAAATTAATCAATGTGAACAAAGACAAGAAGCAGTGGGGAGGACTGGACAGAACTTCTATTATTGTTCCTCATCCAGGGATGGATCATTATGACCCACCATTCAGACATAAAACTCTATAAATCTCAAGCTCAGTTTCTCTAAATCAGTGGAAATTTGCCACTGACATTAATGGGAGTAAGATCAAACTGCATACAGCAAGCACATTTGTCAGGACAAGTTGGCCATCTGAAATCTCACTATAATTTAAGAGAATGAGTCAATTGACGATGAGACTATTTCCTAGTTAGGTTCTGTACCTCTAGTGTCAAAGGAAGCTTTCTTAGTGATTTGTGTAAGCCCAGAGCTAGTATCTGAATAATTACATTGCCATGGGGAAGTTCACAGCTGGCCAACAGCAGACCAAATTTGTCCCTCAGTTATATCTCAGTCATTCCACTATACTTCATACAATCCAGTCACAAACTGCTTGCCAAAACTCTTTTGAAATGACTGTGGTAAAGACTTACATTTTGTTGTTAGGAATAAACAAACAGATCTGCAATCCAATCATAGGAGAGTCAAGGTCATGGCTTTCAGTGGACATCTCCTAATCGGACTCCCCACATAAACATAACATCTAGTGTTTGCTTATTATCCTAGCTAGCATTTTAATAGTCTTAAACCCGTTGACAGAGCAATCTGAAAATAACCTCAGTGCTCTGCAAGAGGCTGAAACTGTGAACGAATTTGCAGACTTAAAAGCTCTCATCACTTGGGGCTTGTGTTCACTAAATTATTTGCCAGCTGCTCTGATAGCCCCATGTTCAGTGTGTGTTACACATCCCCCTCTGTGCCTGACAAGAGAAGATACGCATTGGCTACAGCGACCAGCAAGCAGATTTGGTCTGTTTGCTCAAGCTGTCACAGTTGTGCTCTTAGATGCGCTGGTTCTGGGTCCAAATCCAGAGAGCACAGCGAAAGCTAAAGCTGGGGAGCCAAAGGGGGCCCAGAAAGCAGAGAGGGCAGTACCTTTGTTCTCCTTGGTCAGCTTGTCAGCCATGTCCCAGTGCTCGTAGCTGCGCAGGACGTTGTTGGTGATGTTGACGTGGCTGGCAGCCATGTGGTGGATGCGCTGGGGGATGGTGATGGTGCCCGCCGAGGAAGAGCCGGCGGTGCCTGAGCTGCTCCCAGCAGAGCTGACGGGGGACGGGCTCAGGGACATGGGCGAGGGGGTTTCTGTGCTCCTGCAAGAGGCAGAGAGAGAGACAGTCAGTGCTCCTCACACCCCCCACTTCACTGCCATCCTAAAAGTTGAAAAGTTAACTCTGCACCCCAGTAAAGCGGGAGCGTGCAGTGGTACCTCCTGATTTTATAAGAAAGGACAGCTTATAAACTGGGAATAACTGAAAATAAAAAGGGATTTAATTCTCCCCTTAAATGAATCTGTTATTTTTTAAAAAAATCTATCTTAAAAATAGAGCAATCTTTCAGAGAAAGAGGCATCTCATAGCTGTAATGATTTTTCTACCTGCTGCCAGAAGCTGCAATGGCAGTTAGAAAACACTCAATGTACAATATTGGCTTATTATCAAAGTATTTTCTGGAAACCACAATGACAATTTGCTCCAAAAACAGTCACCACAATAAGTAAAGAGCAAAGCTTAAAAGCACCCTGCAGAGCAGTATTAGGACCTGAGGGTACTGTAGGATTATGAATATCTCCATAGGATTCTTTAAGGCTATGGAGATTTGTTCTAATTGCCTACAGTTCATCCACACAGTTCTGCACAGCGCAGTGTTTTAAGTTACCTACTTAGTGAGGCACTAATGTTCTAATATAGATTTTCCTTTAATTCTAACACCATCAATTAGGAATCACCTGCTGGTTGCAGGCAGTGCAGCGGTCAGCACGGCACACTCTTGTTTAGAGCTGTGTAGTGCTGAATGCTCACAGAACAGCTATTCTCTTTGAAAATATATAAGATCCTGGATTTGCTCAGGTTGGAAAATACCTTTAAGATCATTGAGTTGAACAGTTAATCCAGAACTATCAAGTCCACCAGTAGCACATGTCCCCACATGCCATGTTGACATCAGGACACTTTCAAATACCTCCAGGGAAGGCAACTCAACCAAGTCCCTGGGCAGCCTATTCCAGTGTTTCATGACCCTTTTGGTGAAGAAATTATTCCTAATCTCCAATCTGAACCTCCCCTGGTACTACTTGAGGCTATTGTCTCATCACTTGTTACTTGGGAGAAGTAAAAAAAGCTACCCTCCTGCCCAAGTTGGTGTCATCCACAAACTGACTGAGGGTGTCCTCAATCCTTTTCAAGATCAAGGGGGCTTCAGATCACCAATAAAGATACGAAACAGTTCCAAGCCCTGAACATCACTGGTGACCAGCCCCAGCTGGATGTAATTTCATTCACCCGTTTGGAAGCACTTGCCTAAACAAAAGCATTTTATTTGCTGTGGAATACACTTGAGATGCAGGGCCAAGACACTCCTGACACTTTCTGCATGAAGCAAAGAGACCAAAACTCTCCAGATGGGGATGTTGCAACCCCTCCCTGGACATGCAGCTGTAGATGCCTCATGCTGTGCAACAGCATCAAGCTCAGTCACTGAGCCTGATCCAAAGCCCAGGACAGAAGGGCTTGGCCTCTTGGCTTTAAAGGCCACTGTCAATGGCCCTGCCAGGGCACAGACCTGCTGACACCTCAAGGTGCTGCAGGACAGACTGACACGACAGCACAGTCTCGGGCTGAAAGGCATTGATGGCAACAGCTTTTGCTGCAGATTTTCCAGCAGTGCCCTGCTATTACCTGTGCTCAACAACAGGCTCCTGTAATACATTCTTTTTCCAGAGCTGGAGATCACATTGATTTGGCAGCTTGTAGCTTTTTACCCAGCTTATGGGTTAGAGTTTAAGCATGTCCTAATGCACAAATGCTTTATTTTTAAGTCTCAGAACATCCTGGTTACCTGACTTGCCACAGTGTCTTTATTGCACAGAAGAGCTGAACTATACTAGATTAGGTGTGGGAGCAGTTAAAAATGATAAGTATCTGAGGAGACCAAGAGTATTTTGTTAGAGCCACTTACAACCAGCTGACGCACTTCTGCCAAATAAAGCACATTGTTCATTGGATTTACCCTGTTGTGCACAGCCATTATTACTGTGGTGAGTCTACTAAATCTCTGTATTTTGTGCTTTCTGTCGCTAGAGGTGGGAAACATTTCTGTAATGAAACCAGAGAAAATTTGTTTCATTGCCAGGATGGAACCTGGGCCAACTTTGTAGAGGTTCACAACCCTTTCAAACGAGTAGGAAGAAATTCCAGTAAGCCAAGCTGTGATTTTTGATGGATCTGAGATCCTGACTAGACTACACTCCATACCAACTTGTTAAAAAAAGTATTTGGGATTGCCCCACTGTCCCCCCATCCTGCACAAGGCTGCTGCTCCATCTCCAGTGATGCCATATGCCGGATGGTGTTCGGTCTGTTTTTCTGTGGCGTGTGAATCCTCTTCCCATCTGACACAAATTTGCAGGGGATTAAGAGAAAACTATAGAGCAAGTAGCCCTGGGGAAGGCAGAGCACAAGCTGCCAGTGGCAGCACCAGGCCTGTGACAAACCTCGGAGGAACTAGAAGCCACCTGAGATAGACAGCAGCTCTGAGCCAGCTGGAGAGCTGTTTTCTTCTGAGACTCCACACAGAGAGGACACAAGACCAGAGTGTGGACTGTGGTCTCTGTGTGTTGGGCAACAGGTGTCACAGTAATGCTGTTATAACACGGCCCTGTCACTCAGTTACTCTCACATGTCAAGTGCTTCCTGCTCTGAATAGAAGACAGGAATGTGCATTTTCACAGCTTTCCTTCCGTATCTCCAAAGTCAGTGGGAAGAGACTGATCAGCTGGGTGTTATGTTAGAAGTGATGCTGACCCGAAGGCTGGGTTTCTGCTGCCCACTTTGTGGCCAGACAAGAATTTTCTCCTCCAGTTAAAACCCACTTATTCTCAATCCTGGACACCTAATAGCTCCTTTAAATAGAGAAGGAGATGCAGAGCACACACTTCATAGGGGTCTATTATAGGACAGGAATAAAAGGATAACTTCTGCTCCATGAAATGTTTATGTACAAGCCCCTTCTTCAGGAACAAAAGAGATGTTATGCTCCTGTGGTCTATTTGATCACTAAAACTTTATGTTAACATTTATGTATTTTTATTACAATACAAGGTTTCACTGACACTTCAATGCCTGGAAAAACTGGCACATAATGAATAATTTAATTTAGTAGGTGCTTTTCCAGTGTTAAAATATATTTTCAGTTTTTATTTAAAGTGAGTTCTTATTTCATCACTTTAGCTTGTGTTACAATCTATACTTTAATAGCTCTATACATACATATTCAAAATAATTGAGTATTTGGGGTATGTATCTATACCTATCTATACCCCAAAATATTTTGAAGCATTTGAGGCAATATTTAACTTAAAGCCAAATGTTGGAATTTTTGGTTTTGCCCTGATTGAAAAAAAAGTCTTTTTGAAAACTTCAGTTCTTCTTGTTCTAAACTTCAACCCCTCCTTCTTTGTTTCCCTGTAGTGTCTAATAGTAATTTCTTCTTTTGAGCCACCAGAAAGAGACCATTAACAATAATCATTTTCACCTAGAATTCAGCCTACTCAAATAAAGATGGATAAAAAAGGTGAAGTCCTTCACCTTTGTTTCACTTGTGTCTGGATGTGTGACCAGGACAAAGAAGCAGTAGAAATGTGTGTCAGCTGGCAACAGCCATTGCAAGATAAAGGCAAGGATGCAGCAGCAATGCACCCCACTGAACATAACTGCATTACCCTGACTTCATATCTGAGGTGAGGGTGTTTTAACGTTAATATGAAGCCACTGATAATTGGCTGACTAAGTGCCTTCACATTTTCACCACTATTATACCTTCAGTTTTATTAAACAGCACTTACCATATATCAATGAAATATTCATTGTTCTTTCATTGCTGAACGAAACATTGAAAAATCATTGCAATGAAGGTTAACTTTACTTTGGCTTCCTAAAGTGTCATGGTACTTGCCAGCTAATCAACTGATTTTTATGCCTTCATTTGGCTTGAGAAGTAAACTGTCAAAGAATTCAGCACAGACCCACCATGTCTGATTTTATATTTAAGGAGGCTTTGCACACATGAAGGTGTGATTCAGCTCTCCCTTCCTGCCCACACTGGATGGATCACAGGGGGATCTGACTTAGTCCAGTGGGAGCCCCTTGCCCCCACGAGCCCAAGGCAGCTCTATGATCAATTCTGTATACCAGAAGAACAGTTTCTACATGATACATGGTTGAAATATGCCTGCAGCTCCCAAAACACTGATCCCATGATCTGCCCTTTGCCTTTAGAGGCAGAAAAACACTTCCCCTCCTCTTGGAACCACTTGTTTCCAGACAGAAGTACTCAGCAGAAAATACTCACTTTCCATTGCCGCCCCAAGGTGAGGGGGCCTGAGAGGCTTTTGAAGAGTTCTGTAAGTACAAAACCAAAATGTAAATACAGATGATGCAAGTACATGAATACTGATGACACAAGGCTCAACATTCCCCCTTTTCATTGCAAGAGCTACAGTGCATGGAGCAGAAAAGCTCTGCACATTGGTCCCATAATTAAGTGGCTGGTGGATGATTGGTAGGTTCCAACCAGTAGCTTGAAAATCATTTCATGAAAGAGAGAATAAATTCCAATAAAAGCAGATGTAGGTCACAAATAAGTGGTTTAATTACCATTGAAACTTATTCTACAAAATAAGTTCTTCAGAGTGAAAATGACTGCTTATCTTTAGAGGGACCTTCAATATTTTAATAAGAAATAAAAATAATTTGGCTTGATGCTTTAATGAAATTGATCCCTCCCAAGTTGCTTAGGGAAGGTGGCTTGGGATTCAGATAGTATTATAAATAATATTTTTAGTAAGGATCTGCTTGAATGCTTTTGTTGTTATATATTTTAGTGGCACAAATTGACTTTCCTTACCTGCTTACTCATTCTGCCTTTCACGTCTGTGTAGCACCTTGTAAAACCCTGTACAAAAAGATTGCCGAGCAACAATAAAGCCCAGGTCTTTCCAGCCTTGCTCAGACTGAGTGGTATCTTAGTTCCCATACAAAGTGGCAGTATCAGGGCTGAGGCTATCTCTGTGTGCCCTCTGAAAACAATCATTCAGCTCCCTTGCTGAGAAGTCAGCACGCACAGTGAAAATTCAATCAAGTTTTACAAGTTCTCTGCAAAGTATTACCCACATTCTTACAACCCTCATCTGGTTACTGTAATGGCTATCTTGCATGGGAGGCACAGAGGTTCAGTGGAGCACAGACAGCACCCTGGACTCTAAACCACAGCTCACAGCCCAACATTTCTGACCAAAGCAGAAAACATTGTCCAAACCACGGCACTGGCCTGGCCTGGGCATTCCTGCAGAGCAGCCACTGCCTGTCACAGAGGCTGTGAGCATGACTTGGGGTGTTCACAGCACACAGCATATGGAGCATACGAGGAAAGAGGGACCTAAACTGCCCTGGAAAGTCTTCAGAAATGGAGGAGAAGCTTTTATTGTTAATTTTTCCTGTCTGAGGATTGTTCCTAACTGTACCTGGAGACAAATAATAGCTCTGTCAAGATTAAGACTAGATCTCAATTGGAAGCAGTTATTTGATAATGAAAATATTTAGCAAAAATATTTCAATGACTACTGACAGCATGTTTTCAAAAACATGAAAATCTTCCTCAAACTTTCAGAGGAAATACATCAGGATGTCACTTTTTCTGATCATAAAACATTTAAATTCAATTTAAAAAAATTATCACTTTAGTAGTATTCACTCCAAGTTGCCTCTAAATTTCAAAATTGCTTTCATGATTAAATGGCTATTTTCTGTTTTGAAATGTTAAAAGTATCATTTTGAAGCTTTTAATTGGAAATTAATCAGAACCAGTTCTGTCCACAAATGGTTTCAATTTGGACAAAGTGGCATTTGTCAGGAAAAAATATAAAGAACAATTTAGCTGAAAAATTCCTCCCCAGCTCTGCTGTAAACAGTGGGCTGCTTTTCACAGTTAAAATTGTGTAAAAGTTTGAATAACAACTCTATTCAAACAGTTAATCTATTGCATTTGTATTACAGATTCTTGCTAGTGAACACAGAGAGCGTGGTGCAGCAATACAAAACTAACACATGGTTAATAGCTCCAATTTTTTTTCTTTTCTCCTCCTGTGCCTTTATTACAGAAAGAACCTGACCATATAATCTGTATACACTCAAACACTGCTCCTAGCAAATGAGTTACAGTGCTCATAGCACACATACTGTAACATCAACTGAAACACTTAGCTTCAACTGCATGCCCATGCCTAATATTCCTGATTTGTCTATTTTATTGCTTTTTTATTTTTTTCTCGTATTTTAATTTACATTAAAGGACATTTTCTTATGCTGGGAGCAGTAAATATATTCTTTATCTTACCTACTTGCACAGCTAGAGAAAATAAAGTGGCTTTAGGGAAAGAGATTCTCCCCTGCTCCCGCCTTTTTTTTTTTTTTTTTTAAATCATTACTTTCTGCAGAAAAGGTTTTTTTGTCTAATAATCCTTTTTTTTAAGATACAATCTACATTCATCCAGGATAGAATCTGAAGTGGCTGGAATACATTTCATGAAAATGCTGAGGTTACAAATGTGTGTAGCTCAAATTTAATTTTTTGTGCAAATCCCTGACTGAAAACTCCATGAGCACAACAGAGGCACTTCCTAATGGTACAGGAGAGCCTCCTCTTAAGCACAAGATTAGGACTCAAATTACTGAAGTTGCACAGAGACACACGTAGGGGACACATGGGCAGTCAGAACTGTGGCTGCTGCCATGGCAGTACTGGAGTTTTACAGCAGAAGGACCATTTTATCACCATTTACATGAAAATATGTAAACTGCAGTGTTAGAGGTTTTTACTGGTTTGCAACATCAATATATCAAAGCCTTGAACAAATTCACAAAGGCTGAAAACACCAACAAAAAAAGACTGATGGGCTGACAAGCCAGCATAATTACATAATTATAGAATAATATGTAGTAATAAAGTAAAAGAATTAATGTATCCTTCAAACAGCATTAACCAGTGAAATATAAATACGAAAACCTCAGAGCTGAAGAAAGATTCTATTTCTCTCTTAATCTAGGAACAGTGAGGATTTGTCATTTTTACACTGGGTAAACAGCATTTGACAAGGTAAAACAAAACATTCTCAAGTCATGACCATCGGATCTCCGCTCAGTTCAAGGTAAAGGCAAATCTTCAAGATGTAGCTAAGGTAATTTTAAGTTCCACAGGAATAAAAGGAGAAATCTCTGAAACTGCAATAAGCTTCAGGAAATCTCACTGAATCTAATATCTAAACTTAACTAACTACAGCCCAAATAATTGCTTTATTATGGTTCATTGGGGGTCAGTTCATAATCACTTGCACATTGAAACCTTGAAAGAACCAAAAACTTGCATAAACATTACATGGTGTTGAGAATAATGTTATTTTTGTAGAATTACTGAGTATGGTCCTTTGAATCAAGTGACTAATCCAAAAATCCCCCAAATCACTTCTGTCCCCATTCCCTGGCAGCCATCCTGCCTGCATTTCCCAAGGGAGAGGTTAAATGTGGGACTTTTAAGTCATGCAGTTATACTTTTGAGAGCTCTCAGTGCTGGTGTGAATTTCATTTCATATCAATAAATTAAACAGAATAAAGATTACCTTAAAATATTCCATCAGAGATCTGGAGTACTTCATAGCATGGTCCTTCTTTAGTTTAAACATTCTCAAGTAGAGAAGTGATAAGCATCGGTAGCTGCGGTAATTAGGAAAGGATTATGTTAATTCCATTGCTTAATGAAACCTATAAACTGTAAAAAAAAAAAAAAGCTGACCTATATTTTGCAGTTTCTGTTCTAAGGTTACATTTTGAAACATAAGCAAATGGAAAAAAAAAAAAAAGTGGTCTAAAGCATTAAAATCCCATCTTGATAAGAGTATAAATTAGAAGAATAAATGTTTAGTCAGCTGCTGAAGAAATCCATTAGTTATCCTTTAATAGTTTAATGGAAAACAAGAATAATGATCTTCTGTAAGCTGTTTAAGTAATTCAGTACTTTTAAAGTCCTCCTTAAGATTTTAGCTGCTTCTCTCATTGTCACTAAGGGACTTACCATAAAACTGCTAATTTCTTGTCCCCTTCCGTGGCAGAAGAGCCTGTGAAATTCTTGAGTCTCATTGCATACCTTGTCAGAAAGGTGAGAGATAAGAAATTGAGAGTTAAGATGTTTCCAAAAATAATCAGATATTCTTCTCCAACTACAACAGTTATTGGTCACAGTGTTCTGTAATGAAGAGATCAATGTAAAATGCAACAGAATGCATCACTTAAAATCTGGACGCCTTACGTAAATCACCAACCAATTTTTTGGGCCAACAAGGTGAACTATTCTTGGGTATATTAATGATATTATATCCAGCCAGCTAGGCTGAGTCCTGCAAACATTTGGGATGAGTGTTGAACAGAAGCATAAGATCTTGGCCCTATAGGTACTGAAGTGTAACGTAACATATAATAAGGTTTTACATATAATACTTTGGGCTTGAATAATCTTCAAAATCCTTCTCATAAATACATTTTATATAGAAAATGGTTTTACATATAGGAAAGATCATGTTCACAGCTTTTTCATTCTTGGGTTCATTAATTTATAAATCTTGTGTACTTGGTATTCCCTCTCTATTTAAGTGCTGCTGTCCAGCATTTGGATGATCAAGGATTGAGTATTCCTATTTCCTCTGCCTTTTTTTTTCCTTTAACTGAGCATACTCCATTCTATCCATTAGTCTCTTGAAAATCAATTCATCGCATAAAATCATTGTTCTGAGCTGTAATGCAATTTCACAGGTACTTGTGTTAGAATAAGTAATAGGGTTCAGCGTTGCGTAAGGAAGTTTTAAGGTATCCAGGCAGTGTTGATGAGTTCTCATGTACAAGGAGGTAATGGAGTGCAGGCAGCTGTGCTGCTCTCCCCTGCCTTGCTCTCACCAGCCATCCCAGCCCAGCATGCAGCTGCACCACCCCAGCTGGAGTGCTTCCTCCACATCCTGTCCCACCTGCTCTTGGGTATTGTGGTTCTAGTCACACTGGATGAATGTGATCAAACGCAAAGATTTATGTCTCTTTGGGATTTCAGCATTACCATTAACTTAAAACACATTTGACAGTCAGATCTCTGATAGTCCCAATCTCTTTGATGCTCCACTTGCTTTCACAAATAGGTGTCTGATGCAAATAGGGCAGACACGGCTAAATGCAAAAGGAGGAAATTGTGCTTCTGATGAAAAGTAAAAATGAGAAAAATCTTCCTCTATTTGTTATCTCACAGTAAAAAACTATGTTAATATTAGCAGCTACGCTGAGAAGGTGTTGTGTGCACAGCCACATTGTTTGTACATCCAGCACCCACTGTAGCCCACAAGAATTGTGTCCTGGCCCATGGAGTTTTACTGAGCCTGCCCCAGCCTGCTGCTCACCTGGGCAATCACCTTTTGTCCATGTGCGACCACTGGCAGCAGTTAAATGGACAAATCAGTCTCACTGGCTGTGACGAGATGCTACATGCAACAGTTGGTGAACTAAACTCTACTTTTGGTGGTAGGTGGTAGAATTAATCTCACCTGACTTAAGCTACTTATATATTGGAGATGTACTGTAACATATTCTACAGATTCTTCCACAGCCAGAACCAGCTCAAGTGCTGCTTCCATGCCAAGGTCCATCTGTCCCACAGCCTGCAGCAGGACTGTGCCAGGAGCAGCAAGGCAGCAGGGCTGCTGATCCCCCAGGATACAGCTGTGTCCTCACCTGGCTCCCTGCAGGTCCTGCCCTTTTGTGAGCCACTCCTGGAGCTGCCATTCTCTGATTTAACTGGTTCACATGTTATGGGTGAACAAAGCTTTTTGGTCTGTGCACTCTGAACAGACTGCTGGACTGAGGAGCAATGATTTCAACTGAGTTGTGTGGTTTTCTTAAAAAACAAAAAATAAGTGCAGGCTCCTATGAAGAAGCATTCTCTTCTTTAAAGAATACGTCTTTAAATACAATTTATTCTGCCATGCAGCTGCAGCTGTGTAGTTCAGGACATGCTGTCAGACTGCAGGATGATTTGGGCACAGCAGAGCAGAGGCAGGTGGCTCTTTTTCTAAGTCTTCTGCTCTTGAGGGTTTAACATGGATCAAGTGTTGAGTGAACATAATTTTTTTTCTTTAGTGATTTCTGTAGATTTCCTTCTTCCTTTTATGAAGTGTAAAATGTAATTTTTTTAAATATATTTAACAGGTATATTATTTACCTGATAGTAAGAGCTTAAGACTTGATACATTTTATTATGCAAATACCTACTTATTCAAAATGCAAAACATGCATTATCTTGGCAGTCCCTAATAGCTAATTCAGCATGTTAAAAAAAAAACACCATTGACATATTAAAAACCAAATATTTAAGGCTTGATTTGCCTCTTTTTCTTTCACTTCTGCAAGCTGCCAGTAATTACACTGACATTAACAAGGATGTTCCCAGCATACACTGGGGAAAGCAAAGGTGCATCACAGCGAAGAGGAAAAATCTTGTTGTTCTACTTTACAGGTATGTTTAAGCCTGCTTGATTTCACTTTGATAATTTGCTCAAGTAAAGCAAACTTAGTAACTCAGGAGACTATTATTTCTATGGACCCAACACTATGAAACAGCTATAAGGAGGCAGTAGCAGATTTTAGAATAATTCAGACATTTTATTACTATGTAAAGACTCTCTTATCCATATTCTAGCCTATGAGTCTACAAAACTGCATTAAAATTAATTCAGCCAGTTCACATTCCTGTAACATTAAAAATATACTGTTTTCAGGACAATATATGCAGAAGCTTCCTCTCTGGCTATAATCTTTTATCCCGAGTTTCAGCTTTTCTCTTTTTTTAACAGCCAAGTTATAAACCTCTAAAACCAGGGTTTGTAATAGAAATCCTGATAGACTCCCTTTAATGTTTAGAATTGTAAAACTACACCTTTTAAAAGACAAGTGTCATTGCCAAACAGTGAAATTACTATACTTTACTTCCACCCACTACATTTCAATTTTAATTTTATGAATATTGCAAATTATAACACTCACATTATAACCTCTAAAGGGGATAATTTATAAAAGCAGTGTCCATCAATTATAAATTTTCCATGACATTAATAAAATGGCAAGAACTAATTATGATGACTTCTGAGATGAAGATGCCTTGGACAAATCATTAATACGTTGAAATGGTATTTTTTAAAACATAGCAGGTTCTAATTATGACTGAAATGAGATGATGAAAATGATCACAGAAAGGACATTAACCTGATGAGTTCCACAGTCTCTGAGTACATGGTGTATGGAGATTTAGCTTCTAATGGATCTCGCTCCATAGCGTTCCCGCACTCGATGAAGGAGAGGGCAGCATCAGCATAATTCACTGCTTTACCAAACTTCTCCAGCTGAAATGGGAATGACACTGTCAAGAAAATCCTTCAGCTTTGATTTTTAGGTGAGCAGATTATTCTACAAAGAAACACTAGCTTTAGGGTGAAAGCAAAGCAACACTGGTAGTTAAAAATGAATTCATACAGCAATTAAGGCAGGAACTATGTTTTTACCAAAACTTTTCAGGGTACTGTGTGGCTGAATGCTCCACAGAGGAAAGTCAGTGTATGTCCACTGACATCAGGGATTTACACAGGCAAGAAAGGGCACTAAGTATGTTTGTGCACATCCATACTGCTCCTTGACAGATGAACTAAGTTTGAATGTCACTATGCAAGGGTTAAGTAACAACTCTATGCCATTTGGCTGATGTCATATTCTGTGTTAACTGTTGGTCAAAGAAAAAAAAAAATCTCATCATTTATATGATGAGTAAAGAGAAGAAAAAAAAAGGGAGACAATATAGCACTGCTTAATATTTCATTTTACTAGGATTTTATTGCAAAAGGTTTTAGCCCTCATAATGGTTGTGATTAAACTGACTTAGACATACTGATTTCTTTTTTTATGTGTAATGAATATTATATATGACATTTTTATAGTATGCACTTTATAATAGTATTTAACATTTTCAGTTTTTGATAGCTGAATGTAAGAATTCTACTAATGTGGCATTTGATATAGGAGATCCAATATACTTTAAATAATTTAAAAGTGTCTATGTCTCTATCAAAATATTTTTGATGCATCTGCATATGTTTCCATTCACAAAACAGAAGCCCATTTTCACAACATACTAAACATAACATTTATTATTGGTCCAAGATAACAGTATACTTGTCTTTGTGGCTCCGTCTATGCCATAACCAATTCTGCCCACCTTTAATTTCAAGTACTGCTCTAGTGCATTGATTACATAAAGAGGCTTTTTATAATTGATAGGTATTAACTGAAGGATCAGAAAAAAGGAAATGTTTCTGACTGCTCCCTCTCTATTCCAGTGGCTGCTTCTCAGCATATTCTTCAAATTCCTTTTTTCACTTTGAAAGAATTTCCATTCATTTTGGAAGACAAAAAGCCTTCCAAAGATGACTTTTTGTGGTATGGAAAAAAGAATCTGGCTGCAAGCAGATTTAGTTGAGACACAGAATTTGAGCCAGGAATGGGATCTGATTCTCTGAAGAAGGTGGAATTATTCCAGCTCGTCACATCTCAGACAGGCACACAGTGAGGTCTCCCAGATCTCTTCCATATGGTACAGCAAGTTGCCACTGCAGCAGCCCACCCAAATTAGCTGATCCCTTACTGCAGCCAGACAAGGAGAGGTTTCCATGGGGTCGCTCCCGTAAGACATGAAATGTCCTGCCCTTCACCAGAAATCTATTTTCTCTACAAGCTCAGGAACACTGCTGCCACAAATCTCATTAACATTTGCTGACACATTTTGAGGTCACATGCATTATCTTTCTAGCCACTGCAACACATCTTTCAATGCTGCCTGTGCTCTGTCATGTCAGCACCAAGTAACCAGCAGCAATTGTTTCCATAGGACAAGTAACACTATGGGATTGCACACCAAATGTGTTACATGGAGATTATTTGCGTGCAGCTGCATTGGGTGGGAAAAAAAAAAGACTTGAGATCTAAATAGCAGAAGGAAAAAGCAGATACTTTGTTCATGGATATTTATGCCTGCCAACAAGTTGATCACAGTGGATAGCCTCACATCAGGGCACTCGGTTGTCAAACTGTGTGCGGCAGGTAGGACCACAATGGGATGTGCTGTGCCTGCTCCTCTTAGTGCTGCTGGAGAAACAGCCCTGATCCTGCAGGTACAGGTGGAGAAACACCCTGATCCTGCAGGCACAGGTGGAGAAAAACCCTGATCCTGCAGGCACAGGTGGAGGAACACCCCTGATCCTGCAGGCACAGGTGGAGAAACACCCCTGATCCTGCAGGCACAGGTGGAGAAACACCACTAATCCTGCAGGCACAGGTGGAGAAACACCCTGATCCTGCAGGCACAGGTGGAGGAACACCCCTGATCCTGCAGGCACAGGTAAGAGCACAGGAATAGGGTGAACACCTGGTGAGCACGTCTGGCCGCAGAAGGAGGGGAACTGCTGGAGCGTGCTGAGATCATCGGGAGCCTGAGCCTGTAAATATTTGCTAGCAGGGAGCAGGTAGCCCTGTGCCAGCAGCATGTGTGCTTTGTTTAAAGGTCACCCAGCTGTGGGAGGAGTTGTGAGCCTGCAGACGCCAGGCTGTGGCTGGACGTGCCCTGCCGAGCTGGCTGGAAGCCATCAGGCCACCTCCTGTCAGTGGGCATGCAGGGAGGGGTGACTGTCACCTTGCTGACAGTCACAACAGGTGCCAAAACCCTGAACCACCCCACACAGAAAACACTCAGAAATCCTGTGCCCCAAGCCAAAAGGGAGACTGGAGAGCTGCAGCAGACAGCTTGAAATGTCAGCTCTCCTTCAGCTCACTGACAGCAGAGGGAGAGGCTTTTTTGTTTTGTTATTTTGCTTTTTAAAAACATAGCATGTGTTTGTTTTGGGTTTTTTTTTGTTTTCTAAGCACAGAATAAATCTCTGATGGGTAATGATAGAATATACATGCAAAACCCCCAGAAATAATAAAGTTGAGAGGTGAACAAACACCCAGCTCTTTGAGGGGCAAAGTGGATGGCCAAACTCCATTTTAGACATTTTAGTTAAATTGAGTAGAGGAGTCAAGTTCCACTAAGTCTTCCTGAATGAGCCACTGTTCTGCACCCTATGTAACACACAGGAGCAAAGGCCCTTCCTGCAAAGCAAACGTTTACTAAGGACACCTCCCAACTGGCATAGGTTATATAGAACAAACCATGCTAGAATACAATGTCAAATTATGTAGTGTTATCAACATCCAAACACTGGGGTAAAGCAAGCAAAAAAGCTTTCCCAGTATTGAACTACCTCACTACCAGATTTTTTGGAAATAAATGTGTTGAGACTTTATCAGCCTAAAACCACGCAATAAAAATGAATGTAGTACATAAAAATAAATTGTTTCAGATTTTAAACAATCAGATTGGAAATATCAAACAGTTTTACCACATGATGATGGGGTGTGAGGTGATTTGCCTGTCTTTCTGCTATGGAATATTTCATCACTTCTGTTTTAGGCTCAAAATGAATAGAAAAACAAATTTCAAATACACGTCAACTTTCATAAAACCATCTTACATACTTCAAAAACAGCATGATTGCTGCTCCCCCTTGGAAGAAACACCAGCTATTGTAAGTAGCTTTCTTTTGGGAACAAATACTTAAAAGTTAGGAATGGCATTCAGTGTTTAACTTGTGCACAGTGCGTTTATGGAGCACAAACTGAAGCACAGTTTTGTCAGTAGCGGAATTCCTCTTGGTTTGAGAGGCTTTAGATCTTGTGGAATAATGTTCATTTTTTAACACCGAGTTCCACAGTGGAAAGAGACAAAAAAAACCTACCAGTGCATCTGCTTTATGCTTCAGCTTCTTAGCCTCTTGCATGTAATAATCTGCATTGTGCAGCCTAGAGAGACAAAATCAATTAAGTCAAATCTTTGCTTTCATATAGCTGGACAAATGTTGTTTGAAAAAATTGCTGACTGCTTTAAAGAAGAATTTTGACATATATGCCCACTTATCTCTTTAAATCTTAACCTGATATCAATCTGAAGCTGCTGTATGCAGAGATATGATGGGTGACTAGAATGTAAAATAAGTAGCTGTAGAAACTGGCTGCCCAAAGGACCTATTAATGTGTGCTGAACAGAGGAAAAGGAAAAATATTTTAAACTAATTAAGTATAATAAGTTTCCATTAGAGGAGCTAAAATAAAAAAAAAAAATTAAGAAGAATTACTGTGAACCAACATTCATGATCTGAAAACATTTATCAACAGAATCTTCATTAATCAGTGACAACAGTTCATTTGCCAAGATTAAAACTGTGTGTGCCTTTGTGCAGCACTATCAACACAGGTGCCCAATGCCAGCACTGTAATCAAAGATATTCTCTTTCACTGGGACCTCTGCTTGCACAAAAATCCCAATCACAGAGCACAAAGTCAATAAAACTTACACATCATCAAACGTTATTTTGGGTCTTCTGGGCTCAGAATTCCCATTGGAAAGCGTTGGCATGGCAGACCAGACGTCTGGTTCTAGATGGCTGGTGTCAAGGAGAGTGTTGGCTGTGGGTGTACTGTGAGATTCTTCCTCCTAGGAGACACAGGACTGTTATTCATAGTTCAAACAAACGCCTTCCAACAATGTAAGCACTCACATCCATCCTCCCTGCCAAAAACCCTTCCCAAAAAAACTGAAGGCTAAGGCACAAAGCCCACCTACCTTCATATCACCTCTCCAAATCACCCTTCCCTTCTTTGCAACATGAGCCTAATAGATTAATTAGGGAGTAGGACTCCACTTCTGAGCTCTCAGCTGAACTCAGGAATTTACACTTTGAGGTGTAAGTTTTAGGAGGATACCATGGTGTTACTGACTAGAGACACTGGTTAAAGCAAGGGTGGGGGAGATCTAATGGGCCAGGCTAGATCTAAACTCTACTTCTTCAAGGTGAATCACACTAATGTAACCTTTATTCTGTATAACTAGGAGCTAACTGTTAATGTGGCTGAAGAGTCTGCTTGGATTTCAGCAGGGAACAATTTCCTCTTTTGCTACAGAAAGAAGAATGGAAAGCAGAAGTCAGTTGTGACTTTGCAATGATTAAAACCAGAAGCATAACAGAAGATTTTAAATCAGGCAATTGCAACTTGCAAGCTTGGTCCCCAACCAGATATACTAAATTACAGATGAACCAATGAACTAGGGAAAGAAGTCTAACATATTTTTGGGCAAAAATATTTATTGTATCAAGATAATAGATTAACCAAGGATAAATCTGACTCGAGATGCTGGGATGAGAGGAAGAGGCCCTGCTGTTTACACAGCACTGTTTATTTGCTGACATATGCAGTTCATTTTGGCACTGATTTCAGTTGAAGGCGTGTGTATTACTGGCGCAGCTTGAAGTGACACAATGATATCAGAAAGCAACAGGGATGAATGAATAAGGTGAAGTGATTTGTCACCTACAATTCAATGCAACTTATGAGTTTTACTATTACAGTGCAGGGTAACAACCTCTCTCAAAGTGGTGAACTGTGAAAAATGGGGCTATGCTTGCCCTTTTCTGTGGCAGAATTTTCTTCTTGTCTTTTAATTTTGATAGTGATACTAAGATACAGTTTGATAATATTAGGTAAGGATGGGTTTGAAACTCTAGAAGAAGGACTATTTTCTAAAATGGGCCAAAACCCTGGAGTTTCTCTGTTTAACCTAAAAAGAGCATGACAAACTAATGTGAAATTTTACATTGTTTTAGTGAATTTGATATGCAGTTTTGGCTCTTCTTCATGTATTTTCAGAAAAAAAAAAAGTCTACCTGAATCTGCTGAAAAGCAAGCAACAAAGAATTGTCTATGTGAGAACCAATGATGGGGAGATGGCCCTAACAGTGTGATATTCTGGGGGGAATAAAAACCCCTATTTACAAATTCTCTAAAAGCTTATAAATAATTAATGAAGATTAAGCATAAATAAACCTTACTGTTGTAAGCCTGAAAATCTGAGAGAGGTTATTAACATGCTGACTGTACTATGGACAGGAATATTTTGTTATATTTTTTTTGTCTGTTTGATTTAGGTTATAATATTCAGTATGACTACAGTGCTTAATTTTGGCTGAAAGTTTGAAACAGTTATTCAGGTGATATTCTGGAAGTTTTACTTTCAAAATGTAAGTGTTGCAGGTACAGAGTTAAGGGACTAATTTCAGATAGTTGATGGCTGCAGAGACACTTCTCTGAGGCTCAGGGTCCAGGTGCTTCAGGGAATGATAGACAACACCAAGTAGATGCCTAATGCTGACCTAAAAATGGAGCTTGCAAGAGCTGTTTATGCCTGGCTCTGCAAAGATCCACTCCCCCTGAGTGGGCCTACGTAAGCATTTAGAAATTCATACTGTATGGAAAAAAAATCCAACAGAATAAAGCTGCACTGTTTTCATTTTTTCTTGCTCACCGGCACCAGCTGAGGCTGGTTACTTACACAGATTCCTTTGGGGTTAGAAGAAGATTTATTTTCATTCTTTCTGTGTTTAGAAACAGAGGAGGAAGAGCTGCTGGTCTGTGAGGGGTTTGTGACAGCGGGCTCCTGGCTGAAGGAGCTGTTGTCACTGCCATGCCGCCGGTGCACAGGGTCGTCCAAGAGCGGGGACAAGGGAGGAGGGAACAGCTTCTCTTCTCTTTTCTTCGTCACCTTCTTCACCGAGCTACTGCTGCTCCTGAGACACACAGAAAAACCAGTTGCAATTCAAGAATATTGGTTAATTCTCCACAGCACAAAGCTCTACATTTTATTTGCTGAGAAGCCAGCTCTGCCCTCCAATCTGTCCTGCAGTCCCGTGCCCTCCGTGTAATGCACAAGGGGACAGCAGTGAAAACAGAAGAGCTGCCTCTGCCTTTTCGATGACTGCAGAAACCTTCTGCTTTGGAGGACAACTTGCAGTGCATTAGTACAAATTGCACCCAATTTAAATGCTAATTTGAGTCAGTCTTCATTTGAGAGGTCATAGAGGTTCTGACTCAGCAAAGTGCTGGAAAGTTTTATGCACAGGGTTAGTTCCTTTGACATCAAGTATGACTATTTATGTGTTTAACATTAAGCATCTTTTTAAGAGGTGGATTAGGGCTCACATAAGCAACCTTTGCAAAAAAAAACCAAACAGCACATGGCAGAATATGAACCAAAAATAGAATTTATAACAACTACAAAAATGATAACCATAACAATAACAAGATAATAATTATTTAGCGTCTAGAATAAAGCCAATGTTCAACACTATATTAAAATGATACATTGTAGCTGGCAAAAGCCCTTGAGCAAATATTTTTTGATGAATTGAACGTGATTCAGAAAATGAATCTGGTTTTGACATGAAAGCTCAAGTAACCTGATAATCTATTGTCTGTTTTATGTACAGAAATTGCTAGCTGGCTAGAAATGGCAGCTATAATACACAGTAAAACCAGAAAAAAAAAACAAAAAACCCCAACCTGGTAGACCTTTCTCCACTCAAATTCATCAAAAAAGAAAAAACCAAACTCAAGACTTCACTGACTGTTTAACATGTTAATCTACTCATAGATTTTTATTTCAGGTATTGTCCCAGCTCAGTCAATGAAGATAACCTGAATTTTAATCTTTTATTTGACATGTAATATTGCACTACATGATCATTTACTTTTCATGATTATTGACTAAAATTTCAATAACAAATTAAGTCAACAAGAATTTATGTTTTGTTCCCACTTTCAGTCAGTGTCAGGAATTATTGATCTCCGTTGCCTCAAAATAACCTGGGAAAGAGGAGAAGGCAACCCAGGCTTCCTTACTTCTTGTTTAGGGGCTCTCTCTCATTTCAGTCTGACCTCTTCTGCAGTTTCACTGACAGTATCAGTATCTACACCTCGGTCAATGCCCTGCTTGGGACCTTTGGTAATACAGAAATATTTTAGCCTTATCTGTGAAACCACAGAGTGAAATCAAACAAATTTCTCATGTTTTATAGCTCCTCTACCCAAAACTACTTTAATTCAACTGAAGCAGAGTTTAAAATATCTTATTTGAAACCTTCTGATATTAAAGATCTTCAGACTGAAGAAATAAAACAAGCTCAAATTCATATTGCCTTATGGATGGATGCTGTCCTTCTTGGAAAACACATGGGTCTGAAGAAGATCAAAGGCAAACAACCATGTTGGACTACACCAGCAGTTCTTGGAGGAGACTGATTTCAGGCACATGTGGTCCTGCAATATGTCCTCCAGAAAGTTCTAACTCAAAGCTCCATCTGTTCACTTTCTGACCCCCAAAGGGCATTTTGGACCTCAGACAAGTTACCATAGTTATAGCTCACAACACTCTGTGCTTTTTCCAGAGGAAGAATTTTCCAAAGAGGGTGTGCACTGCCCTGACAAAGCATACAGGTGTTCTTGGATTGTACAGCAGAAAAGAAGACACAGTTAACCTACAGAAGCACCCAGGAGCAGAACCCAAACCCTCTGCCTCCCGAGCACATGCTCTACAAGGAACCCTGAGCATGCATTCACAGGGGGAACACAGAGAAAAGTGGTTTTCTGTGCCACTGTGCACGTAGGAGTTTCTTCACTATTTAAAACTTCACTATTAAAACTTTACCAGTTCACTTCATCTTTGGGCTCAGATATAAGTTTGGGCAAACCAAGGAACAGGTGCAGTTACTCAACTCTGGCACATAAATCACTCTGTGGCTTTGAAGAATTAACCACAAAACAAAAGGCTCTAGAGGTTATTTTTTCTACATAAATTACATTTAACTCCATCCCCCCATAAATAGAGTTTTAATTGTCTGTTGGGTTTTTTTCTTTTCTTTCCCTTGCCCACTTAATTCTATAAGTTTTTGCAGGAATTAAGCTGATAATTTATTTAGCAATGTCACCTCCCTCCAATTTACACTAAAGCATTTATGCTAACAATAACCTCCATGAAATAGGTTGTTACCAGCAGTTAACCAGATTGTCACTTTGCTTTGGGCTGTTAATGGCCTAAGAAACTGGTCTTTGATTGCAGGAATCGCTAATTTTGAATGAATTTATTGCAATAATTACTGAGACTCAATGGTTTAATTTGCTGACATGATTGTTAGTTAAAATATATTTAAAATCTAGGGAGAAACACAAAGTGCACTGAAAAACTACAAGCAGAACTGATGGCCTTGTGGCTGCAGGGTTTTAATCTTTTGTGTCTAAAACAGGCCAATTATCAAAGAAGGAGTAGGTTCCCCATCTGCTTTTTTTTTTTTTTTTTTTTTTTTTTCCCAGCCTGATTTCTTTTAGGGCAGCAAGCAAGAAAGCAAACAGGCAACAAGAAGTCATTGCATGAAGAAGGGAAAATTTCCAGCTACTCTCATGCTTCAAGCTGCTTTTCTTTGCCCTTTTTTTTATCCACTCCTTGTGGTATGCAGTGGTATCTCTGGCCTGGTGGGACAAAGCCCCTCTCTATACCAGGAACTTGGCTTTTCTTTGCCTCTCCTCCCCCAGCCCACAATGAAATGCTGCACATTGATGGTGTATCTGACTTTCTGCAGGGTTTACAGGGAAAGGTCACTCCCACATCAGCCTGGACCATATGGCAGCACCTGAATGGAGCTGAAGTCATTGCCATAGATGTGAAGGCTGCCTGTGCCATGAAGAAACCCCAATGAATGCTGTTGTGACTTCCCAAGGGATCAGCTAATATGTACTGCCAAGGAGAGGTGCATCTTCAACTAAAGGTCAAACAAAAGCGAATGTGAAATTTTGAAGAACAAAAATGCAGAAATGCTTGCCTCAGACCCATTTCTAGCATGCCTGCTAAATGGTGGGCATGTTTCACTGGTATAAGTCCAGTTTGACTCACAGTTTTTATCAGCAAATAATTCCCTGTGTTGCTACAAAAAGCCAAATACTGGTGAGTATTTGGTGAGTCCACTCTCTGTCTGGACTGGGTCTACCAACCAAATATTCATATATCAATGGGATTCAGCAGCACATACAATTATTGTTTAAATTAAAATTTCTCTGTCAAGGAACTAAATATAAATAAACAATCCTCTTCTGCAAAGGCAGCTGATCTGACAAAAATTCAGCTTCACAGAAGTTCTTCAATGTATTCCTATAAACACATTGAAACACCTATTCCTTCATTTGCTGTAAGTATCAGAAATAAGGAAAATACAGTGGAAATAGTTTGAAAATATATTTTAAGTGTCAGGTCAGATTTTGGAAAAGGCATCAACCCCTGAATATGTACGGGAAGAAACAGAGATGTAATTATGGCTTATGCAAAGACTACATAATACAAACCTGCTCTCTGGTTGTGCAAATGCCTTTCAAGTTCACAAGTGGCCATTTGAAATTTCAAATTGTACATGCAATCACAGAAACTTGTGGAAATTAGGCATATAATTGCCCTTATTAGACATGTGACCCTTTAAAGACTAATTGTGCATCTTTGCTTGCTTTATTGAATCCATATATTTAGGGGAAGATTATAGAAAAATGTATCCAAGTGCCTAAACCACAGCAAGGCAGGCAATGGGAGCTGTGAAAGCACAGGTGTGACCTATCTTTCACTGATTGCTCCAGATTCCTGAATGCCTCCAAATTTTGGCCCAGATCGTGGTCTTTCTGTCAAAACACTCTTGTACCTTTAAAAAAGCCTAATAAAAATCTCATGTCTGCCTTGGGGAACTTGGCTTATTGGCACAGGGATCAAATTCTAATGGGAGAGACCTAAGTTTCCTACTAAGTGACAACATCCACCATGGGACTAAACACCTCCTTAAGGGATGAAGATCATCATCACACCTGTAGCTGACTCACCCGCATTTCTTAAAGTCCTTATATAGAGAGCTCTAAAAGGAAACTTAGAACTTTTGGGAATACCAAATGGCAAAGCCTGTTCTTCAACCTTTTACCCCTGAAATGTTATTTTTCCCCATGGCCTTGAACACAGGACTTTCTTCTGCCTCCCCTTAAAAATTTACTCAGCCCTCTGGAGAACAGAATCACTCCTGACTGCTTAAACTGCTTAAAAATGAACGTTTAAATTTCTAGGAAATTGTCTTCACACAGTTCATCCAACTCCCTGATCTTTTGGGAAATACATTGGTCTATATTCAGTTGCATGTGTATGGGAGTTGAAAACCTGAATCAAAAAAGTTTTGCATTTTCTTCAAGCAAACTCAGGAAACACTAGTAAACAACAAATGCAGTATGATCCAGGTCTCATTGAGGTGGAAAAGAAGTCAGAAAATTTTGTTTCAAAACTTCAGGCAGATGAAGCTAGTATGTGGAAATAACTATTGATGGACACAATTATGTTTTAACAGAGAATATCCAAGGGTTGAAATCTCTGAGGAATCAAATTAACGACCTGGAAAACAAGCTCAAATTAAGAAACATCAGGTTGGGGGTGGATCCTTAGGGCCTGATGGTGACAAGAACAGAAAGATTTTTTTTTAATGGATTGTGGAGGTGTTGGGGATGGATAATCCTTGATTCCCTCTGCAATATATCTCTGCTCATTGTATATCTAGCAATGACAATCAAGCAACACCCATAATGATGTTTATCAAATGTGCAACATGTTACAGATCCCACTGTAACTTTCAGCTCATCTTCCTTTTCCAGACTCTAACTCTAATTTTCTCAGTGCCTGAATGAGGGCTTAATTCACAGACTGAAGTTACTCCATATTAAAACCAGAATAAAATGATGCTCAACTTTCTTTAAGGATTTTAAAATTAGTGTGCTATTTCATAAGTTGTTTTTGAACTTTATCTAAATTTAGCTATATTATCCTCAAATTGTTTTTAGAAGTCTGCTATGATTTTGATTCTTTGCTTATCCTAGTGCAAAGCAAAAACAAGCACCTCCTCTCAAAATCAAAAAAGGAAATGGACTCTTTGGCTATTTATAGAATGTTAACCTTGTGACTCTATAATCAGTATCATCATTTATTTGGCACCTGTTTGTTCAAGTATTACAGCCATGTCTGAAAGACACTCTGAAAGGCACAAACTATTGGATGGTGTGTCTGCTGAGATACAAAGCAGATATCTGAGACACCTGGGATGGTGGCCCCTGTCATTGCTGTATACACAGGTAAAACAAGGCAATTTCACTATTCTGTTCAGTAAAACTGGGAACTCATGAAAATGATTTCAAAAAATTAATTCCAGGCAATCAAATAAATCCCATTTTTAACAGGATTCTCTGTCCACAGAGGTTAAAGGTAACAGAGGCAAGAAAGAACATTGGAAAGAGGTTGAAGAGTACACCGGGATTATGGCAGCATTCTGAAGTCCTGCCGGCCATCAAAAGGAGGAACAAACGTCATCCAAAGCCACGTGGATTTTCTTCCTCATGGATGGGAATACCCACAAGGCTGTGTCACTTATGCTGATGGGCTGTAAAACCCATCTGACTCTACAACAAAGATATTTACAGAACAGTACTGTGAAATCCCTCAGGAATGTCATGTCAAAAATCCACTTACTCTTTAGTGCTGGTTATTCTGTGGTTCGGTATTGGAGAGATACAAGGTGGGAGCAGACAGGAAGCTGGAGGCTCCTCCAGGCGCTGCTTCTTGCTTTCAACAAAGGTTTCCAGGCTTTCTGTCTGCTTTAACAAAAAATGGCAGAGCATAAAAGATGCAGCATTTATGCACAGCTTCACTGGCCACCACAATGACCTATGGAATCTCCGTATATTTCCTTTATAGCAGCAGCAGTTAAACTACTGGTCTAAGAGAAGTGAAAGTCACCTGAAATAAGGGCTAAACATGCTCCAAACACAGGACGTGAAGTTGTTATATAACAAGTGACATAGGAGATAATTAGGAAGCAAAATGTCTCATGTGCTAAAGTTATCTTCTGTAGTGCACTGGAATTTAATTAATAATTTAGATGCAATGATTTGATAGCACTGAACTTTATTCAAGTAAATAGCTTTTACTCATTGACCTAATAGAAGTTGATGGGAAAACTTCTCTGAGTAAGTATTCCTCACAGGACTAGGAGTAGAGGACTGAGCTGGGGTAGTCATTAACAGCAATAGCTCATTTGAAATTTGCTTTGGAAGAGTCCCTGATGCATAACTTTTGTGCCTGAACTAGGACGATACAAGCAAAGCTGATTATTGCTCTGTCACTACAACCTTCATATCAGTCTTCAAGTCCACTACTAGAGGGCTAAAATAAAATCTTTAATAGCATGATTTAAAAACAAAAATTAGTCTCTCCCTACCCTGCTTTAACACTTGGTATACCCTTAAGTCATCCTAACTGGCTTGTTTCCCCTTGGGTAGCAGTGAACAATCACATGACAACATTGGAGGGGCTGATTCAGAGTCTAGCTTATGTTAGAATAGGCCCAGAGCAAGATTCTCCATTTTGCTACTTTCTGAATCAAAGTTTCAGTTAAGGAAATGATGAGGTTATACCTTTCATAAAACTCCTTTTTTTTTTTTTTTTTTTTTTCTTCCCTAGGAGCCCAAACTTTAGTTACAAATACTACTCTTGTGTTTTAGTCAAGATTCCTTCTCCATAATACAGACACTCCACTAATCTACCCAGCAAGAATTATTTTTGGTATAATTAATATGCACCCTAGTGTACTCAGACATACATAAGTATGGACATTTATACATCCCTCTGCTCTTTTTTTCTCCTTCCTTCTTGCATCTCTGTAGTGCGCAGCTAGAATATAAATTGAATAAAAACCTGCTGAGTTTACTTATGTGATTACTTTCACTTAATTCAGCAGGGAAGGAGCCAGTGCAGTGACTCATTTAGGCAGGGGTGTAGACCCTGTGTCTGCCTGGCATCATCTATCTTTGTCTTGCAATTCTTATATACCACTGGACTCCTCAAACTTAGGATTTCAAGAATTCCACCAAAACAGACAGCTGAAGTCATATTCACAATGATTTATAAAATTTATATAATTTATAAAATTATAAAAAATAAACTCTGATGACTTCTTACAGGCAGACCCTAGTACAAGCTTTCAGCTGGAAAAACTGACTACAAAAATTCATTTAGGATATAAAACCTCAGTTTCTTTTCTGAAAACACATTTAGTTTGAAGCGCAATGTCATATCCCACAAGGTAGGATACCCTTAGGCATAAATAACATAAACCACATGATAAAACAGAATGCCTTCAGTCAAAAAATATTTTTTTTTAGTGCAGAGAAAGTAAATTATATTTCTATGGATCATATTTGTTCATACCACAAAACAATACAAAAATTAAATTCACCAGGAGCATAAGCAAGCACCATTCCAATGACTTTGATGAAGCCTGTTTAAACCAGTGGTGAAAACACCTTAACTCTGCAGACAATCAACCTCTCCCTTCCAAACAGAAGTCACATTTTCTGAGTATGGCCAAAACTGTACTAACACGAATTCATCATTTTCTGCAGATTACAGAACACTGGAAATGAATAGGTGAGTGAGCAACTACAGTGAAAAACTTGTAAGAAAAATCTCAAAAAATACATTTATTGATTTTGTCAGCTTTTTACTAGTTTCTGATGTTAATTTGTAGTGCACTTGTAAATGTCTGTCCTTACCTTGTGTTTTCTTTTGGATTTGGTGGGGGGTTTTTCAGCTGCTGGGGTAGGGGACTCTCGAGATGGTCGCCTGTGTTTCACATTTGCCTCTCTTGGTTCACTTTTCACAGACGTGGTCTCAAAAGTTTCCTGTCCAGGTATCCTAGAGAGTAAACTAAGGTCTATTTTCACCCACAGAGATTTGAGTTCTTCATATTCTCTCAGTGGGGACAGAAGTTCATTTTGTACGATTGGGATAGGAGAAAAGAGCTGCTCCTCCAGGTCGTTGCTGGTCTGGTCAATGGATGTGTTGCTGCCATTGCTGGTTAAGCTACTTACGCTGAGGATGTTACTGCCAGAGTCCTTCACTTTGACACCACTGCCAGACCCAGTGCAGGCTGGCAGCACCTTTGCCTGCAAGCTCTCCTCCTGGTCTGTGTTTGAATCAGAAGTAGATGAATCAGTTTCAATGAACTCCCGTGACTTTGGGACAATTTTGCTGGGGCCTCTGTACTTTTTCTTCTCTGAAGTGAGACCTGTGCTAGTTCGTGGTTCTTTCCTTGGAGCTGTCTTCCCAACTGCTGCTTTAGTTCGAACCTTTGGCTGCTCGGGGGGTTCCTGTGTGTCTTTTTCTTTGGGAGTGTTGCTGGTATTATTTGGTTTGGGCCAGTTATACTCTTCTACACTGGAAGTCCTTTCTACCTTTTTGGGTTGCTTTTTCCCAGTAGTCCTTTGTGAACTTGGCTCATTATGAGCTGGTGACTTCTGCTTGGAGCTTTTTGCCTCTGGGGTTTTCTGGGCAACCCGTGGTTTGGCTTTCTCTCGGATGGGACTAAGGATCGCCCGGTCTTTGGAATCGGTCGGGGGCAGGCTGCTGTTGAGCTTCCCTTTGTTTGGCCCTTCGGCCTGCTGGTTGCTCTGGGCCTGGGAGCTGCTCTCACTGTGAGGCTCATTTTGATTGTTGATGATGGTCTTGTTGTGGGGGTTCACCTTATTTAGCCACTTATCCAGCTGCCATTTGTTTGTTGAGGGGGGTTCGGGCTGCAGATTGAATGATGACAAGAAACAAATCTCAGACAGAAGCAGTGCTTTTTCCTTTAAAAGAGAACTTTTTTAATGTGCCCTTTTATTTCAGTCAACTAGTGGTGACTGCTAGTTTTACAGGAGTATTTATGGAGTATTTATGGTTAATTAGGCTTCCTTATCTGGTTTACAAGGTAGCCCTGCAGAAATTTAATACAACTAAAAAGTTTAGCTAGTCCCTGAAGAGATAGTTTTGTCATGTTGCCTTTCCTTAGTCCCAGCTGAATACTGTGTCAATAAAATCTTCTCTAGCTACTGGCAAAAATCTAAATATTTCTTTAAAGCAACTCAAATGTAGGCCAGAAGGATTCTTCCAAAAGCTAGAATGAGTATGTGGGTCATACATGTGAAACAGCAAAGGGAAAAGAAGTCAACAGCATCAAACAGCACAGAACTCCAACATCCCTCTAGCAGGGAGCGAGGCTTTGCTCCCCTCCACGCTTCTCCCTCCGGGGAGAGCCGAGGGTGGCCTCACCTCTGGCGTGGCACTGCGTGACTCCTCGTTGCACTCGCTGTCGCTGGAGCTGCTCTCGCTGTCGGAGTCGGACTCGGAGCTGCTCTCGGACTCACTGGAGCTGCCGGAGCCGCCGCTGGAATGGGCCAAGCCAGCGGCATGTGCCACTGGCACTGGCAGGCTGCTGTGGGGACAAGATCCTCTCTTAGCGTGCTCCTGGCCCTTTGCAAGTGCTGCCCAGTGAACCCCATTCACCCCAAATGAACTCAGCCTCACCTCCCCCTCCTGCAGGGCAGACCCAAAGAGCTTCAGGGGCTGTGCCACCGTGGAGCCACCAGAGGAGCTGGTTGGGTTCATGACTCATGGGACACATTGATTATGTTAATAACATTACCATCATCATCACCCTCCAGTAAGAAACAGTTCATTGTCACAAGCCTGAGCTTATTAGGCCAATGATTGCAAAAACTAACAATCACACTTAAATAATTCATTAATGGAATCATGGTTTCTTCATTTTTTGCCAGTTCATTTATAATTTATGATCAAAGGAAGGACATCAGGCAACTAATATTGGACAGGACATTTTAAAAATTAATTTTAATGAATACTTTTACACTGCAGTGTACAAAAACTACGTCCTTTTGACAAGTCTCCAGGGAGTGCCTGAGAATTTTTTATTTATAGCTTTTTTCTCTCTCATATTTATGATAATGCAGTGAGAAAATAGCATTCATGCTGAAAATAAGCTTCTCTGTGAAATCTCTTTTCTGTGTGTTCAACTGCCTCCAAGATGTATTTATTAACAGTGCACTGTGTGTCATTCTCCTCATCATTTGTTTCTAATCTAAGAGGTCAGATGACCCCAGCTTTTAGCACTACAGAATTCTTACAATCTGAGTCTTTATAAACTCATCTTTAATTTCAACTTTTTTGTCAGGGAGATAACCATAAGGTTATATGTCTCTTCAGCTGATCTATACAGGGACTTTTGATGATTGATTTTAAATTTGTGAAGCTGACAAAGCAAAGTGTTTGAAAATTGACACCATTTGCTAGTACGCCTTTATGGATATTCAATACTTCACCTTAATATATCATACACTGTGTGTGTCCCATATTGAGTGATCCAGAGGTGCCTACAAGGTATAATACAGTTTTGCCTCTGTTTCTATTTGCTTTTCTATTTTCTTCCAAGAAGGATTAAACTAAGCCAGGAATATGCTTTCCTTCCCTTTCCAAACCAAGTTGCTCAGTGCATCAAGATGCCCTCTTAAAAAAACACAGTATTCAAGAAAGTGGAAAAGCCAGGGGAAGAAGCAAAAAAGGAAAAGCCAGAACAAACTGGTGGGTGACCCTGCTCTGCTAGAACCTTTACAAGCACTGCCATTGGCTTCCATGACAATAATAGATGGACTTTAATTTTCTTCTTACACCAAACTACTTTCTCTCCTCCTTGTTTGTAAAACCTATCGCTTACACCGCGGTTGGTAACAAAACTGTCTCTTGGAGCCTGGCAATGGCCCTGCAGCGCCCATTGACGAAACAGCTTGGTGCTTTAGGGTGCATTAATGAAACAAAATTACTCACTTGGGTAATTGCTACAGATCACTAACTTTGTTGCTCATTAAGTCCATACATTTTTTATTTTTTAAATTCTTTTAGTGGCTCCTTACTCAACTGACTCAAGTAGAGCTACTTAGAAAATTTCAACTGGACATAAAAGGTAATTTAAAGAATAGATGATAAAAACATACAAGCATTTCTGAAAGTATTATGGAAAACTAACCACTGCTGAATTAAAATGGATCTTACATTTTGCATTTCATAAAATTATTTTTTAAAACTGTTTTTATTTCTTCCTTTATCCCTCCTTTTCAGTGAAGCTCAACAAAGTATAAGAAAACACACTTTTCATGCCATTTTTTTTACAGTAAACAAGGAAACAGAAAAGTGGAGAAAAAGAAAATGTGTTTGTAGGGGTGTTTGCCTTTCTCATCATCTAGTAATTTGAGTCTTATTTTTTTTACTTGGAAAACACTAATAGTAGATGAAAAATGAGCTTTCGTATTTCATTGCAAATGTTTCCAGGAAGAATAAAATAGAAAACACCACAACGATTCCCAGACTGAGGAGGCAAACATAGCAATTCAATTCTATAATGCCAGAATAAAGCATCAGCCTTGAAAAAAAGTGTTATTTATGGAATCATCAGAAGACTGAAGTTTTAATTTAAAAACTTTCCCCCTAAATCTGAGAGCTTCTCTGGAGTGGTTTGTGCCCAGGCAACCTCCACACAGAGGGTGTGTGTGGGGCTGCACACACAGCTGTGCACATCTGCCTAAGGACATGCTCTGCTCTCAGGACTGGCATGTCTGCTCTCATTAAGACAATTCATGTAAGGACTAACACCTCTTATCTCAGATCAAAGAAGGAAAGGCCAGACCCTTCCCGCCTCTAAACACAACTTACCTCTCTTAGCACTCTGGGACTAACACTGTAGCTGGGATGTGCTCACAGAACAACAGGAGTCATTCTGGAGCAGACTGCAACTGTCTAACAAAGGGCAGGAATAAAACCATGGAAATAGATAGCAGCTCCAACCTGGCCTTATTTTCTTTCTTTCTTTCTGCACACCAGCCTCGCTTGGAAAAAGCTGCCATGTGCCAAACATTACTGAGTAACACAGCTCAGCAAGCACGCAGGAACCAGACAGGCTCAAAATAATGTTTTTGATACAAAACATAATGAGGTCATATTTTTCTTTCATCTGGGGTAATAAAATTATGCCTTGGCTACACCGGGCAGTTTCATGCTGAAGGCATCATTGCTGATCCTCATTACCAAAGTAGAAGCATTCATTTTCATCATGTAGTTTGAGTTGAGAGCAACTGTGCATGCTTTGCAAAACAATCAGATAAGACCCAAAATGCCTTACCTAGCATCTCACCCTTCCAAGATAAATCTAGTACATAGCTACAAGCACAATCAACTTCTTACAATGCAGTTCAGCAGAGAAGAAAAAGGTATACATACATTTCACAAACAAACAAATGAAGGCATAAAAGTGCATAAAAATGAATCTTTGCTTCCAATAAAATAAGTTTAGTAGATATTCTGGATTGCCTATTGTGATTTTTTTTCCTTAAATAAAATGCATCTCTCATTAAAAAATACTTGGTTTGCACTCTTTCCAGAGATTTCTGCAAATATAAAGTTCAATCATGTTTTGAAAGATGTTGGGCTAGATTCTGCAATTCAAGCAGCTGTTATACAAATAAACTGGGCTTCCTCACATAGGTTTCAACTACATGAACTGGGGGTTGCCTCTCGAAGAGACTTTCAAAGCAAGCTTTGTTATGTTGCTAAGATCCAGACAAGGAATGCCAGTCCAGACAAGGTTTAAAATGGATTTAAAGTATTTTATCATCAGACACAAGTCCTCAAAGTGACTAAAGGGGGCAGGAAGGACTGATATTTGAAACTATTGAATTTTTATTTCCCAGCAGGAGATGAGCACTCATATTGTTCCTCAGTGTTTGGGTGGACAATGTTTTTATATCATGTGAACTGGAAGAAAAAATTAATAAAAACAATGCTGCACAATGGAACACAGCATTGTTTGGGTAAATAACACTTAGAAGAAAGCCAGTTCATTATTATCACTTGAGATTGGAGGCCCCTACTGAGACCAGTGACACGCTGTGCTGGATCTGTGTAAATACATGATGAGGCACAGTCCTTGGGCCAAAGAGCTTGCAGTGCAAACACACAAAGCAAACAGCAGAGGTATTACAGTCATCTTCATACTCAGTGTGGGCCTGTCACATTCTTGAAGTGCAAGGCCTCTCTGCAGTTAATAGAAACATCAGTTTTGCCCTTCTTTTAAGTTTGTTCTCGTTTTGCAAGCCCCGTGCTCAGCACTTGAGCTGAGTCCTGCAGGGCAGTCAGATGTGCTGTGCCCTGACACAGAGCCCCGACCAGGCTGGGAGCAAAGATGCAAAATGCCTCAGCAGGGAGACCCCCTGACTCAGAGCAGATGGACCAGGGGCTGCTCACCCCTCTCCCGAGGAGCTCCTCCTGTGCCATGGGGATGAGAGCCCTGGAGTGACACCCACACTCAGGGGGAAGGGCAGCCAGGCCTCTGTCCCTTGCTAAGGTCACCATGAGGATGTCTCTAGCTGCCTGCAGACTGGTAAGCTGGGACCTGTTCTGACAGAGGAACATCTGGAAGCCAGCTGGAAGGAAGCTCTTCTGCAGCACCTTCACCTATCTCCCTTCTTGTGCTTTTGCAGCACAAGCGTTTCCAGTTCCTGACAATCATGCACAGCATGGCCACAAAGTATGAGATGAGAAATGCCCTAGAGGAGGAAACAAACACCAGTACCATCAGAACCTGGAGCATTTGTCAGCTCTTGCTGAGCAAGCTGAGACTTGCCGCCGTGCGGCTGCTGATGGCTCCTGGTGAGGAGCTGCATTGACCTCATCCCACACCAACCATCTTTCTTTCACTGCAGTTCACTGGTACAGGTGAGCCGCCAAATCACTCTGAAGCTTGTTTTTGAATTAATGGGTTATTTTTCAAAAGCCAGTTAAAGCAGTCGTGGCATTATTATGTGGCTGGATCATTATGCTGCATAGAGAACCAAAGGTCTGATATGTGGCTTATGCTTTTTTTGTTCTTGCTGTCATCCAGACCATTATATTGTTTTCAACATATAATTTATTCTACTGTTCTTATAAATGTTCTTCAAAATTAAACCTGGTAGCTATGAAAAAGATATTGTGAAATACTCCAGCTTGTTAACATCTAATAAGAAAAATAACAAACTTTTAACCTTGTAAATACAGATGTAAAAAAAAGGTATAATTCAGACTACAGCAGTAAAACTCATCAAGGAACACAACTTCCTATCAAGTCCTTAGCTATCTCCCTTAATCTTTTCTCAATTAGATGTAGTCATGCTAATTGCTGTGAGAAGAATTTGGCAAATAGATGGTGCTCTCTAACAATAGGTTTATTCATTCTAACCCTTCCTTTTTAGAGTAATGATGAATCAGCCATTTGTTTCACTGTTCTACTCAGAAATCAAAATGTAAACTTAGAGAAAGCAGAGCATTGCTGGACAGTGGGAAATTGTAGATGGGAACTGACCAATGAGTCAACAGTACATCCATGTTGGC